GGAAGGCGTTACATACTTCCTGGGAACTTTCCTGTTAAAACTTTGCCCTATATGAGCGTTGACACCGATTTCTTCTAACTCATAAAGTATACCATGGTTCTTGGTGTATATAGACTGAGCAGCCCGTCTTCATAAACAAAGGCCAAAATCCGGATTTGGTCATACACCTGCCAAACCCCACGTTTATGACTGAAAAACGGTTTACACACGACTCACAACTGATGACGTTCGAGCACTTCCGGAACAAGTGCTTCACTGATGAATTTTATTCGAACCACAACGCTATAAATGCTTCAACCACGTACTACAAATACAAATAATCGCCAACAGAATCTAAACACCTAACCTAACCTATGCCTGTATATGCACAATATGCTAATATATTATAATATTCATTTATATTTGAGAAAATTCCCGTTTTGAATGAACAGCATGTAAAAATTTATGAATGCGTCTGTGGAGTCGACTGCTGGATGTAATGGACTTGAGTGGAGGACAGGTTGCGCGTACTACAAATACAAATAATTGCCATTACCATATACAAATAATGTCATACGACACTTTGAAACTACTGACGGTTTTGGCCTCCACCACCTTCTCACCTAACTTGTTCCAGCCGTCTACCCCAACCCTTCCTCCGAATAGGCAGTACGTTTTAATACTAAATGTAATAAGTGCATTCCTGACTGTCTGCATAGTACTTATGTACTATGCAGGAAGTCATACACTTATGTACTATACACTTAATTGTGCTGTTACATTTACCTCCGCACATATTCTCCACATTTTCTGTTAATACACTCAACATTTTTAGGTTTAAGTTTTCGTGTTCAATTCTATATACACAAGTTTTAAATATAAAGAATTTATTTTTCAGTTTTATTAAACAATAGAGATTTTATAAAAAATTTGAAATTATCCTGAGTTGCTTTATAATTTATAGACAGACTAGTTTTGTTTACTGGCTTTATAAAATTGTAATATCAATATACAGTAGCTGATATAGTTAAGTGCTTACTAATTGTAATTATGAAGCAATAAATGCTATTTACATGCTTGTCCCTCTACACTCCCAAGGTTAGGTTAGGCTGTGGTTTTCTATACAGCTTTTCAGGTAAACTCTAATATTCACAATATTTTGATGCAATACTGGCGATTAAGTGTATTTATGTACTATGCCGATAGTCAGGATTGTACTTATTACATTTAGTATTAAAACGTACTGTCTATTCGGAGGGAAAGGAACTATCAGGGGGGGGGGGGAAACGCCAAGCCATTACGATTATATAGCACTGGGAAGGGGTCAAGATAAGGATTTGGGATGAGACGGGGGGAAAGGAATGGTGTGTGTGTGCGTGTGTACTCACGTAGTTGTGCTTGAGGGAGTTGAGCTTCGGCTCTTTGGTCCCGCCTCTCAACCGTCAATCTAGTGGTGTACAGATTCCTGAGCTTCTCGAGCTTCCTAGAGGAGGAGTATCAACATCTGAAATTGGGTATGGAGTCAGCCTCCACCACCTCACTTCTTAGAGGAGTGTGTGTGCGTGTGTATTCATCTAGTTGTATTCACCTAGTTGTGCTTGCGGGGGTTGAGCTCTGCTCTTTCGGCCCGCCTCCCAACTGTCAATAACTACTAACTAAGTTCCCCCCCCTCCACCCCCCACCCCCAGGAAGCAGTCTGTAACAGCTGTCTAACTCCCAGGCTATCCGACTGAATCAATCAGATTGCCCATCCTTACTATTCTATCGCTATTTACTGCTAGGTAACAGGGGCATCAGGATGAAAGAAACTGCCCATTTTGTTTCTCGCTGGCGCCGGGAATCGAATCCGGGCCACAGGATTACGTGTCCAGCGTGCTATCCACAGTCACCGGCGCCCCAGTCACACGGTGTGTGTGTGTGTGTGTACGTGCGACACACACACATATATATTATAACAAAATATAGAATTATAGAATTCAAGCATGCAAGTCTGTGAATAGACACGTCATATACCGTGACCAATCAGAGCTTTGCTACACGCGAGAGAAAGAACTATTGAAGAGCACAACTTGCATGTTTACAGCATCAATGTAACCAGTTCATAAATGTTTGGGGTTTGCCAGTTTTTTGTTTTTCATTTACTTCTTATATTAAAGACTTGAAAGAAAGTAGTTATCAAGACTATTACTATTGTGTAATTTATGCAACATTGTAAGTAGGCTTTTGCAAGATAAAGGCGTTACTGAATGGTATGAACACTGGTTAAAGTAGACCCAGCAAGAACAGTGGCTAGTGATGAGCTGCTATTGTTTATGTTGCTGTAGTGAGTTAGGTGACAGAAACTGGCTGAGCTATCCTAGTAAGTTAGGTGAGCTCAGCAACCTGTCCTCTTAAAAAGAACGTCGCTTTTGTCCGTTTGCCCGAATATAAACGTAATTTTAAAATGAAAAAAAAAATTAATATAAATTTGGGATTTTTTTTTCAACACCAGTAAGTTAAGGGTCCTCTGATAGGTTAGGTGGGCAGGAAATTCTCATAAAGTTTCAAAACGTTATGAAAAATGTTAATTGTAAGTTTCCTCTTCTAACCGTGCCGAGTAAGCCGGACGACTCAAACAGAAAACGGAACAGTACGTCACTTTTGTGAGTCGATTTCATTTCAAATTACGTCCAAATTTGGCCATAGCGCGCATACAAGCGAAAAGTGACGTTATTTTTAAGAGGACGGGTTGCTATCCTAGTGAGTTAGGTGACTGAAGCTGGCTGAGCTATCCTAGTGAGTTAGGTGACTGAAGCTGGCTGAGCAATCCTAGTGAGTTAGGTGACAGAAGCTGGCTGAGCTATCCTAGTGAGTTAGGTGACTGAAGCTGGCTGAGCTTGCTATTCTGTTGTAGTCACCTTTCAGAGTTGAGTGGGTTAGAGTGCTCCACTGACCCAAGGAGAAGTTGAGTCACTTCAGAACTATCTCTTCTGATCTAAGAAAATGGGCGAGACAAAAACTTAACCTCGTGGCTTTATGCCACCCGTGTCTTTGCCGTATACGGAAATCCATATATTTCCTGCTTCCCTTCACCTGGAAGTGTAGTTTACCAGGGTGCATGGCGGCCGAAGGGACCCCGCACCTATTAGGTTGCGGGGGGGGGGGGGAATAGGGGGTGAAATGGCGGGTTCAATGTGTCTCGATTGAATCAATCGGATAGCCGCCCATCCTTACTATTCCATCGCTAGTTAACCAAGCTGGATTAGTCAGGTACTGAGGAATCGGCACCGCGATCAGTCCAGGGAGCTCAATAGATTTGCATGATGTTGTCCCCTAACTCTCCTTGCCACTTAGGAGAGGTATAGGGTGTTTATGTAGCTTCAGGGCACCAATCCCCCCAGCCACAGGGCATGGCGAGAAGGCACCCCAAAAATATGAAAATTAAACGCCAGAAAGCCTAGTGGCTCATGGGAGGCAGCTCCTATTTATACCCAACTAAGCTCATTCATATAAAAAAAATATATATATACCATATAACCTTCACTTGAAACAATCCGGTGATCCCACGCCTATTATAATGCCAAGTAATTTGTTTCATAAATCTACAACTCTATTCCCAGACCAGTTTTTAATTGGTCTTTTCTTAATGGCGACCCTAATATTACTCCTGCTTTTCCAGGGGGCTTTGCTGCTTTCCCTACCTGTGCTCCCTCGTGTGGTATACGAATAAAGATGTAGTATACCACACGTGTGGTATACGAACAAAGATGTAGTATACCACACGTGTGGTATACGAATAAACGGAGGTAATATATAGATACTGTGTTACTTATTTAGGAATTTCTTCCATTCCCGCCTCAGTGTTTCAAGTGCTGGAAAAATGGGCATTGTAAGACGGTGTGTCGGCGCTTGGCCTTTGTCTAGGCTGTCAAGATGACTGTTCATTGTATTGACTGTGGTGAGAGGAACCCAGCCTACTCCAGGTCTGATCAGTACTCTCGGTATAAATGATCCACTGTTCATTCACATTGGACTGATTGGTTTAACGATGGCCGCAATTCTTGCAGGTCGTCGTTCGATCCCCGAATGGTCCATGTGGTTGGGCACCGTTTCTTCACTTGGTCCCAATATTCCAGCTTCTTGACCACACATGCTATGCAAATGTTATAGAGCCATACTGGAATGGCGTTACCTTCACAGCCTCCAGCTCCTACGAGCAGCTGATAACAAAGCGAGGGCTGGCGCATGGCACGCTTCTATTGTTCCAACCTTTATATTGGACATTTTATTTACATTATTCCGTATCCTCAAATTGTGACCACATGAGCTAACTTGAGTGTGTTATTTTTTACATGACGGTTTTTGTGAAGACGTATTTAATGTATAATGTACGTAAACGTGGTGATTTGTCACAATTATTTATATCTACGGGAGTAGTAATTACACAAAACTTCTTAAATGTGGGTCATACGAATATAATTACTGCTCTAATGTCTACCCTATTTTACACAGTTGCTATGGCAACGTGGGTAGTTGTGTGTGCACTCACCTAAATGTGCCTGTAGGTGCGCCCAGCTAACTCCTGGGCCCCGCCTTACCAGCTCTGGGGTGTCACCTACACCACTCCTGGTGCTTGCCGTGCCTAGCTTCCAAACTTCATATTGTATTAATTTCTTCAATCTCTCCCTTTAGTTCATTCTGTTTGTTCATTACTCTTACCTTGAGGTGGTTTGAGGACCAGTATCCCCGCGGCCCGGTCTCTGACCAGGCCTCTTGGGTGTCGGTTTGAGCTTGAGGATTCACAATGCAGTACGTGACCACTTACGAAACATATGTATCTTTCATCAATCATGGAGGCTCAGTTTGCGCTTATTAAAAAAAATGAACTTCGAGGTTGTTTGTAACAATAAATAATCTTGGGTCGAGAACGACGTAGCAGCATTTCCAAGCTCGTAAACTGCTTAAAAAATACACTCTAAGCCGTCATGATCGAAGAAAGATACACAGGTTTCGTAAGTGGGCACGTAAGTGTCTGATGAATCATGACGCTGATCAAATTGACTGTTAGACGCCACTGCATTCTCATGATTCGTCTGCGGATCAAGTTCTCATGCCTCCAAGATTTATCCTGCTTTACACTGAACATGTCTGCTTTATCAGTCTTATATGAACTCCTTAGAGAATCTTGCATGCCGTTATCATATCTCCTCGATTCTGTCTTTCTTCAGGTGTGGTGAGATTAAGGTCTCTTATTCCTCCCCATATAGTTAAGTGATCACAGTTCTGATCCTTGCCCGAAACGCTGTGCGTATTAGTGGCTTTAGGTATTGTATGCACTAACTGTATCTATAAACCCTACATTATGTTTGTAACTCATCTTCTGTGTATGTACTTTTACCTGAATACAAATTTGAATTTGGAAAAAAAATATTTGAATTTGATACGAGTGATTCCCTTGCATACCACTGGACCAACCCATCCGCCGAATTGACAGTACGATTTAATACCGAGTGTAAGAAGTACACTTTCTTACTGTTATAAACAGTGTATAATTACACTTATGGGGCTGTTACATTTACCCAACTCCCTCCCCCAATTTAATTCTCCTAATTTTCTGTTAAGACACTCAGAATTTTGGATGAAGTTTTCAAATTCAATTGAATATACTAAAGTTTTAAATATCAGGAATTTCTTTTTCAGGTTTATTAAACAATATAAATTTTATACAAAACTTTAAAATATCCTGAGTTTCTTTACAATTTATTGATATATTTTAGTTTTGTTTTATTAGTTTTATAAAACTGTAATATCAATATAGCTATAGGTCAAGTACTAATTGTAATTAAGAAGCACTAAAATTATTATCTTCAAAAACTAAGAAGGTTAGGTGAGGTTTTGGTTTTCTATTCAGTTTTTCAGGAAAACTCAAATATTCACAATATATTTGACTACGATTTAATACTAAGTGAAAATAAGTACAATTCCTAACTGCTATGAATAGTACATAATTGCACTTATTTGTCTCCTTACATTTACCACCCCGTTTTTGGAGGACGGGCTGCACTGGACTATTCGCATACTTTGCGTCATTATATACTGGAATGTGAAAAAATCACGGAATTTAGAGATAACACCATCAATAGTGTCCAAGAAATGTGTAAGTACTTCATTCATAATGATGTGCTGCCCGAAATCTTAGCGAGGTATCCAAAATTTGCTTACTGTAAGTAATGCATGCACATGACTGTAAAGCTGCCGCCCAGTTGGGTGGGTGTGCAGCAAGACTAGTAACTGTGAGACTCATCATAGATGTAAAGTGCTCTGTATAGTGACTGTTGTGAGCCTCTTGTTGATCACTTGTGACACAAAAGATTATTGATGTGTGTATTTGTGTGGGTGAAATATGTATGTGTATGTATATATATATATATATATATATATATATATATATATATATATATATATATATATATATATATATATATATATATATATATATATATATATATATACGTATATATATAAGTACATGTATGTATGAGAATGTGTACATGTCTATATAACATTAATAATTTTGTAACCAGCGTCAACAAATTGTTATTTGCTTAGCTAAACGAACTAGAGGGTTCAGTTCCTGAACCGATTATGTGCCTCTGTAATCCTTTACACCACCGCCCACGGGATGGGTATGGGGTGCATAATAAAGAAAGAAATTGAATACCTCTGGACGTTTTACGAACTAGGCTTTGGTTATGTAATCTATTAAGATATAACTGTCTGAGGGGTCTCGGTGCATGAGCTGGGTTTCTATAGAGTTTATATATCATATTCGTGCTTTTGGGATCTAAATGACAGTTACGAAAAAAAATTACTGATTAAGTTTAACCAGTGGTCTATTGCTTATGAAGAAGATTTTGCCCTTTGATGTGATAATTTTGTTCATGATGGCTTGAATAGCCTTTGTTTTTAAATATTATATGCGAATAATTTTAAATTTGTGAAATCTTCACTTTCAAGCCGAACGAATTAGACTTTGATTTACGAATAACTGTCATTGACATGACAGTTACGTTTGACTTAGATGGAACAAACGAGAAGTGAAGCTTGCCTATCCCCTATTGACCTCGACCAGTCACACGAGAAAATGTGAATATATTGTGTGGAAAATGAAGGTGTTTTAATGGGACATAATTGGTGGTCCCTCACAAGTCACCCGGCACGATACTCCGTCTCTCCCTCCTAGTTGAAGGTTTCCAGAAATATTTGAAATTACTTATTATTTTTAGCTTGATATATCGTTTTTCATTTATTAAATATACTTATAGCTAGATTAAAATAATTAAAAATTAATTATTCTAATTAAAACAATCTAATTAATCAAGTTAAAACAATCTAATTAATCAAATTAAAGCAATGTAATTAATCAATTAAAACAATCTAATCAACTAAAACAATCAAATTAAAACAATTTAAGTAATCAAATTAAAAATTTAATTAATCAAATTAAACAGTAATTAATCAAATTAAAACAATCTAATTAATCAAATTAAAACAATCTAATTAATCAAATTAAAACAATCTAATGAATCAATTCGAATTTCTAATTGTGACTAGATTAATTAAATGAGATTAGAATTTCTAATCTAATAATTCTAATAATCAATTTCTGGCCGAAACGCTATGCGTGCTAGTGGCTTTACAAGAATGTAAAATCATCATTGCTATGTTCTCTCTTAACCCACCAATGTACCTCCTTGTATATAAATAAATAAATTAATTAAAACAATCTAATTAAAAAAATTATACCAACTAATGAAATTGGAACTATTCTATAAAGTATAATTATTACAACCTTTTCAATCTTTCAATCTCTGGACGAAGCTGGTAGTGCATACAAATTATGGTGTACCAAGCCAGATCTCCCTAATGGTATGCAAACATATCTCTTTTATAAAGGTTTCACTATCTACTGCGTCACTAGGCACTCTCCTTCAACACATTACTAACTTCTTTTTTTAATAAATAATATACAATAAAAAGATCATAGTTACATCAATTTACAAGGGAAAATACTATATTTATATACTAGAACATATTGTGCTACTTATTTTTAGTCCGAACGATATTTGCTACTAAAAATTGAATGAAAATTGTTGAAAAAATCTGGACAATCAACGACAATTAATAAATACACATGCACATATCAAACGGACGGGAGTTAGATCCCATTCAACAGTCTCAATATTTTCTGATCAAATAAACCGATATTATTTGGTGATTATGTTCCTTCACTTCGCACTCATATCCAAGTTCCTTTCCAGTCATACCCCAGCTCCTATCCTGTCCTCATATAACAACTCCTATACCATCCTGGTATCCCAGCTCCTATCCTGTCCTCATATCCCAACTCCTATACCATCCTGGTATCCCAGCTCCTATCCTGTCCTCATATCCCAACTCCTATACCATCCTGGTATCCCAGCTCCTATCCTGTCCTCATATCCCAACTCCTATACCATCCTGGTATCCCAGCTCCTATCCTGTCCTCATATCCCAACTCCTATACCATCCTGGTATCCCAGCTCCTATCCTGTCCTCATATCTCAGTTCCTATCCGTCCCTCATATCCTTTCCATTTTCTACCTCGTCATCATGGCCTAGCACGTTCTCCTCATGGTTTCCATTCCTTGGAGAGTCCTATATTCTGGCAAATGGTCTCTTCTACCTTTCAGGATCCGTTCTACCTTCAAGAAACACCTGCGCCCTAAGAAGAAGCCTAAAGTAGAGAGAAAAAAGTCGGCTAATTGGCGAAGAATCTCCAAGAAGAACGGTTCCGAACCCCCGCTAGTGCTCCCCAAGCCGACCAACCTGTTCTCGATTCAAGTCCATTACATCCAGCGGTCGACCCCCTCAGACGCAGTCATCAATTTTAACAAGCTGTTCATTCAGAACAGGAATTTTCTCAAATATAAATTAATATTATAATATATTAGCATATTGTGCATATATAGCCATAGGTTAGGTTAGGTGTTTAGGTTCTGTTGGCGATTATTTGTATTTGTAGTACGTGGGTGAAGCATTTACAGCGTTGTGGTTCGAACAAAATTCGTCAATGAAACACTTGTTCCGGAAGTGTTCGAACGTCAACAGTTGTGAATTGTGTGTAAACCGTTTTTCATTCATAAACAGGGGGTTTGGCCTCTGCATGAATACTGTGGCCTTTGTTGATGAAGGACGCTGTCTACACCAGCCCGTCCTCCAAACAAAGACCCAAAAGTGATTCCATGCATCCGCCAAACCCCCCCCCCCCTGTTTATGAATGAAAAACGGTTTACACACGACTCACAACTGCTGAGGTTCGAACACTTCCGGAACAAGTGTCTTCACTGACGAATTTTGTTCGAACCACAACGTTGTGAATGCTTCACCCACGTACTACAAATACAAATAATCGCCAACAGAACCTAAACACCTAACCTAACCTAATGCCTATATATATGCACAATATGCTAATATATTATAATATTAATTTATATTTGAGAAATTTCCTGTTATGAATGAACAGCATGTAAAAATTTATGAATGCGTCTGTGGGGTCGACTGCTGGATGTGGACTTGAGTCGGGACGGGTGCAGCCCGTCCTCCAAACAAAGATCCAAAAGTGATTCCATGCACCCGCCAAACCCCCTGTTTATGAATGAAAAGCGGTTTACACACGACTCACAACTGCTGACGTTCGAACATATCCGGAACAAGTGTTTCACTGACGAATTTTGTTCGAATCACAACGCTATAAATGCTTCACCCACGTATTATAAATACAAATAATCGCCAACAGAACCTAAACACCTAACCTAACCTAACCTATGCCTATATATGCACAATTTGCTAATATATTATAATATTAATTTATACTTGAGAAAATTCCCGTTTTGAATGAACAGCATGTTAAAATTTATGAATGCGTCTGTGGAGTCGACCGCTGGATGTAATGGACGTGAGCGAGGACGGGTTGGTCAGCCGGTGATCGAGGAGCGGGAGGTGCTGATCGAGCTGACCTCAGTGAACCTGGGCCCCCACCAGGAGGTCCGGTACAACGTCACCACAGGTGTCTACCAGCCAGTCTCAGGAAACGACATCCTTCTCGACCTCCTCACCCTGCCCTCCAGGATCCTCCACAGGGAGGAAGCGGTGCTTCACCGGCCGCCCAGGCGACGTCCCCCGGCATGTCCTCCTGGCAACCAGACTAAACAAGGTGAACCTTTCCCGTTTGGGTTTGGGTGGTGTTGTACCTGAGGGCTGTCACATTCCTCAAGGGGTCATTTACCCCTACACGGCTCCAATCGTAATATGCGAGAGTTTTCCATTTGTTATGGTATCCCATCAACCTCTGGAGGGTTGTTAAGGTCTATCACCCCTCTGGAGGGTTATTAAGGTCTATCATCCCCTGGAGGGTTATTGAGGTCTATCAACCTCTGGAGGGTTATTAAGGTCTATCAACCTCTGGAGGGTTACTGAGGCCTATATTATCATATGATGGGTTATTAGTCCTATCAACTTCTGTAGGATGTTTAGGCCTGTCATCCTCTGGAGATTATTAAGGCCTTAATAACCTTCAGAGCGTTTAGTTAAATTAGATCCAACAGACTATCTACATGACAAACGTTTGGACATGCTTCCTCTCACCTGAGGTCTCTGTTGTGGGTTACATCTTGGGGAACATCAGTAGTCAGCCTAGAGGGTCCTTGGTGCTACAGGTGTACCGTGAATATTGTAACAAAAGAGAGAACAGATGGGATCTTGCGTAAGACGCTAGTCTCCTCTCCTGCAATAGATCAAGCGGCTCCTCTCCTCTTTGCAGTAGATCAAGCATCTCTTCTCCTTCTACAATAGATCACAGCCCTTTCTTCTTTAGCAGTTATGCACGGTGACTTCGAGACAGATGAAGAGGACTTCGGGGTCACGGATGACGCTGGGGACCCCATCACCAACAGCAGGGAGCAGGGGGATTTGATGTGTGAGGATGTCATCACGCAGGAGGAACTGGACATGTTGGATTCTCAAGTCAACCCCTTCAACTACAGTGAGCGCGTCTCGCAGACCACCAGACGCAAACTCCAGGTACACACACACACACATATCAACCCTTCCTCCTGATTGCATAATACTTTTTTTGTAACACTGTCGACCATTGTACACATATTGACGTAATGGACAATTAGATTAGATTGTAGAATTTGATACTATTCACTTTATACAGTCCGGGAAAAATAAAGCTAATAATAAACTTAAGTATTCCTAGAACTAATATAGCACACACACACACACACACACACACACACACACACACACACACACACACACACACACACACACATATATATATATATATATATATATATATATATATATATATATATATATATATATATATATATATATTAGGTCTCATATAGCGTATATTAGGCCTAGGATGGTTATTAGCAACATAAATAAAAACTTCTTCAGGTTTGTCCAAACTCAATAGTTCAAATTCTACGTTCTAATTGTCCATTACGTCAATAGTAATTTCATCTATCGTCATACAATCATGCAAGAGGAGCCACACATCTATGGATCATCCAATAAAATCAGCAGACGCCTAGATGTTACTACTGCTCGGCTTAGACTCTGCCGATAAGTATCTCTGGGAATTGTCATTACTTGCTGATGTAGACCTGACCAAATATAAACTGTGTCAACAAAATTATTCGCACACCCTCCGTGTGCGAATAATTCGGCCGCATACTCAGGAGATACTCCCTCTGGCAAGTCAGAACATCCTTCAGAAACTTGAATAAGGAGGCTTTTAGATCACTATACCGCCTATGTGGAGCCAGTCTTAGAGTATGCCGCCCCATCCTGGAGCCTCCATAAAAAAATATGAAAACTCGAAAAAGTGCCAAAGTTTGCAACGAGACTCGTCCCAGAGTTGCGAGGGATGAGGTAGGAAGAAAGACTGAAGGAGCTAAACCTGACGACGTTAGAAAGGAGGAGGGAGAGGTGGGATTTGATATAGACATATAAAATACTTAGAGAGATTGACAGTGTAATGACCCTGATTGTAATATCTCGCCTCGTATCTATCTCGACCGCGCACCCGCTACTACCACTGAGCTAACCGTGCAATCTCCGCTCTTTCTATGGTAATAACAGATGCTATCGATCATGTAAGATGTTAACACTCGGGCCGTCATACGAAGACGTAAACCAGTACACAGAGGAAGGAGAGAGAGAGAGAGGAAGAGGGAGGCAGAGCGAGAGGAGAGAGAGAGGAGAGCGAGAACGAGAGCAAGGGAGGGAGAACGAGAGCGAGTGAGGGCGAGGGAGAGTGAGACACTAGTGAGGGAGAGTGAGACAGAAAGATAGAGATAATCGTAGTCACAACCTATCGTATGAGTTACCGAGTGACGCTGCCACCACCCTGAGTTACCGGACAGGGGACCGGAGTGAGAGTCGTAGGTCTTGCAGATGGAATAACCTACCAGGACAGGTGTAGGGAACAATTGAACGGTACAAGGATCCTGGCCTGACACTCGAATAATCCTGACCACTTGGGAACTATAGTGTACACAAGAATAAGGCGGGACACACCAATACTAACACCTCAACACGGAAGACGAACGGGGGGAGGAGTACTGAATAATTAAGAGCACTAGGTCACTAGGGCAAAGGGGACGGTAGGCCCAATATCACTAAAGCAAGGAACCATTAATACACATTGAATAACACTTAATATCTGACTTTATTAGAAATAATTAAATAAGACACTCCCTAACTATATTCCCTACTAGAGGCCAAGGGTACTGAATGAGGTGCTTTAGTACAAGAGAGCCGTACTTACTCGTATGTTGTTCCACAGTTTTCCTGGAGATGATGTTCCTTCCCAGAGTCCACACACACCTCCCTACTGGGCTGTGCCCACTCAACTGACTCTGCCCTGATCTGTTGCTCCTCAGCTGAACATGAGGGTTTTGCATTTGATGTTTAGGGGTTAATCCCTGAAGATTACCATGGCGGCAACAACTCTGACCTCTTTGTGATTCGATGACCGTTGACCTGACTCCATGGCTAACTTGTACAGAGGTGTAACTTTTACATTGTCTGCCGCCGCCTGTCTGGCGCCTGTGGGTTGTTCATCCTCCACGTGGCCTGTTCATGCTGTTATGATGTTCATGTTGTACTACTATGTACTGCTCTCTTGTTACAACAGAGTGGAAACAGGAATTGTTTACAATAAATATTAACAGAACAAGGAGGCACAGATGTAAGCTTGAGACTCAGGTGTGTCATAGGGATGTTAGAAAGTTTTCTTTTAGCGTGAGGGAAGTGAGTAAATGGAAAGACCTAAAGGAGCAGGTTGTAGAGGCAAACTCCATTCATAACTTTAAAAGCAGATATGATAGATATCTGATAAAAATAAAAAGCAGATACGAGGCCAGGAGTCATTGCTTTAGACAACCAACGGCGCGAAAAGCGGGGTCCAAGAGCTAGAGCTAGAGCCTGCAGGCACAAATTGGTGAGTTCATACACACACACACACATACACAAACGCGCGCGCGCGCGGATGACGCGAAGTTGATGAGAAGAGTTATGATAGATGAGGAGTGTAGGATCCTCCAAGAGGACCTGAACAGGTTGTAGAGATGGTCAGAGAAATTGCTACTGGAGTTCAACACGAGCAAATGTAAAGTTATGGAAATGGGACTAGGTGATAGGAGACCAAAGGGACAGTACACAATGAAGGGAACTGCCTACCTGTGACGACGCGCGAAAGAGACCTGGACGTGGACGTAACACCTATTCTATCTCCTGAGGCACATATAAATAGGATAACGACAGCAGCGTACTCTACACTGGCAAAAGTTAGAACATCATTCAGAAACCTAAGTAAGGAGGCATTTAGGGCGCTTTACACTTCCTACGTGAGGCCAGTCTTAGAGTATGCCGCCTCATCATGGAGTCCCCATCTGAAGAAGCACATAAGGAAACTGGAAAATGTTCAAAAGTTTGCAACGAGACTCGTCCCAGAGTTACGAGGGATGGGGTATGAAGAGCGAATGAAGGAACTGTGCCTTACGACACTAGAAAGAAGAAGGGAGAGGGGGATATGATAGGAACGTATAAAATACTCAGGGGGATTGACAGAGTGGATATAGACGAAATGTTCACACAGAATAGTAACAGAACGAGGGGACATGGATGGAAGCTGGAAACTCGGATGAGTCACAGAGATGTTAAGAAGTTTTCTTTTAGCGTGAGAGTAATGGAAAAATGGAATGCACTTAAGGAGCAGGTTGTGGAAGCAAACTCTTCATAATTTTAAAACTAGGTATGATAGGGAAATAGGACCGGAGTCATTGCTGTAAACAACCGATGCTCGAAAGGCGGGATCCAAGAGTCAATGCTCGATCCTGCAGAAACAAATAGGTGAGTACACACACACACACACCACACACACAAACATACATACACACACACACACACACACACACACACACACACACACACACACACACACACACACACACACACACACACACACACACACACATGTAATGTAATGAAGATAGGTGTAGGGAGCAGGAGGCCAGATACAAGGTATCATCTGGGAGAGGAAATTCTTCAGGAGTCAGAGAAGGAAAAAGACTTGGGGGTTGATATCACGCCAGACCTGTCTCCTGCAGCACATATCAAGCGGATAACATCAGCGGCATATGCCAGGCTGGCCAACATACGAACGGCATTCAGAAACTTGTGTAAAGAATCATTCAGAACTTTGTATACCACATATGTCAGGCCAATCCTGGAGTATGCAGCCCCAGCATGGAGTCCATATCTAGTCAAGGATAAGACTAAACTGGAAAAGGTTCAAAGGTTTGCCACCAGACTAGTACCCGAGCTGAGAGGTATGAGCTACGAGGAGAGACTACGGGAATTAAACCTCACTTCGCTGGAAGACAGAAGAGTTAGGGGGGACATGATCACCACATTCAAGATTCTGAAGGGGATTGATAGGGTAGATAAAGACAGTCTATTTAACACAAGGGGAACACGCACAAGGGGACACAGGTGGAAACTGAGTGCCCAAATGAGCCACAGAGATATTAGAAAGAACTTTTTTAGTGTCAGAGTGGTTGACAAATGGAATGCATTAGGGGGTGATGTGGTGGAGGCTCACTCCATACACAGTTTCAAGTGTAGATATGACAGAGCCCGATAGGCTCAGGAATCTGTACACCTGTTGATTGACGGTTGAGAGGCGGGACCAAAGAGCCAGAGCTCAACCCCCGCAAACACAACTAGGTGAGTACAACTAGGTGAGTACACACACACACACACACACACACACACACACACACACACACACACACACACACACACACACACACACACACACACACACACTATAACAGCTATTACTCTCTTAGGAAAAAAAATTTCAAATAGGAATTTAATCTGTTATTAATCATTAGGAACTGATAAGATAGATTTGAAAAGCAGGAAACCTCATGGAGGCACAAATGCATCTCTCATAGTCCCATCCATTCCCATCACTCTTCTGTTTATTACTCTACACTTCAAATGTTTGTCAATGAGAGAAGTTTAAGTTAGAAAACACATTTGATTAATTAAATGTTGATGCTATACAGCTGTTATTTTCAACAATACAATGTTCTTTTAATTATATTATAGAATATAATCTCTAATACATATAATACTATGTATTATAGTATGTAAAAATGTTGATGCTATATAGCTGTTATTTTCAACAATACAATGTTCTTTTAATTATATTATAGTATGTATTTGATAAATATTTTATACGCAACAGAACACAGGAGTGCAGACAGATCCGCCTCCCGGAACCTCCTACTCGGGAAATGTAGGGTTCAGCGTTATCTATGATGCCTATCAGAGAGACTACGACTTCAAGCTACTGAACAAACAAAAGGAGTTGGATAAGGAGCAAGGAAATGATACCGTGGTGGGAGATAATCAAAGAAGCATAGTAAGTACAATATTCTAGGATTTATTTAGATTCTAGGATAATATTTAGAGGATTCTAGGTTCGATCTTGTGGCTAGTTAGAAACTGTTGGGCACGTTCTTTCCCCCGATGCCTCTGTTTATCTAGCAATAAAGTAGGTACACCGTGAGTTAGGCAACTGTTGTGGGTTGCATCCTAGGGAAGGTCAGAAGTTCGACCAGTCTCTCTCTTCCCCCCCTCCCATACACCAGTTCGACCAGTTTATCACTGTGATTAAAGCCTACATAAAGGCGTTCTGTCCCTAACAACAGCAAATATATACTTACATGCAAACACATCAAAACATTGGTGCTCTATTTGTATCCATGATGATGATAATAATAATAATAATTTAGTTACAAGAAGGTACAGTGGGTTGGTGAGATTACATTAGAGTGATATTTTTACATTCTTGCAAAGCCACTAACACGCATAGCGTTTCGGACAAGTCCTTAATCTAACATATCAGGCAAGATGAAAAAGTACATTGTAGCAAAGTTTTATATTGCCTTTCCATTGGAGACTTTTGGCGCCGTGGAGAGGGAGGATCTGCTGCTTGGGTAACAGCTACTTCGTATCAACCTACCCTGGCTTTGCGTCCTGGAGAGGCCAGTCTCCGTATCAGTCTCTTGAGTATCAGTCTCCTGAGACTGATAGATTCCTACTACTACTATATATTCAACCATTGTTCATGCCACAAATGTTTTTCCAGTACCTGACCCTAGAGACGCAGCCAACCCAGTCATCGTCTGATGCGCCGGAAAAGGTCTCCTTCAACATACCGGGACTCCATCTTGCTACCGTCGTTGTCGAGAGGATGGTCAGCCAAAATATCTTCGATGATATCATACAAGGTATAATTATTGTGACCGTAGCTTCGTCTAAAAGGATTTTAGGATTGATTAAAATACGTTGTGAAAAGTTCTACAAATAGGATAAAGGACCTCAAGCTCACATATGAAGCTCTTGTAATAGCACTTTCTCTGTAACTAGCTGACATTGTAACTATAAGGTGTGAAGGATAGATGAAATTGTTTATGTAATAATCTAAGATGAGGTCTGATAAAGACCTTTTGTGCCCTCTGTAATGCTTTTGCGCTACCGCTCACAGGATGAGTATGGGGTGCACAATAAACTGGCCGCCTTCGGCGGCAACAATCAAATCAAGCCCACATGGATAGGTTTAATAATTAATTGTGTTGGGGCAGGCAGCAGAAGTGTATTCATACACATTTCTTTATCGAGGTCATCCCCCAAGGTCGAATATTACTGACCCCGCCCTGGATGCAACCCCACAACAAGCTGGCTGACTCCTGAGTACTTACTGCTAGGCGAACAGGTGCATTAGGTGATAGGATATGCGATGTCTTTAATAAAAGAAAGTATTGTATCTTATCTTATCTTATAGGCCTACAGCTGTTGTGGTCGAGTGTGTGCCGTCCTGGGCAACCATGCAGCCACGGGTTTAAATTCTCTACTGTGAAAACCTTTGGTGACTGGTGCTTTCACTGTGTAGCATGTCATTCCTTGACCTCTCTCTTAACACATTATATATATATTTGAGCCATCTTTTGTAAGGGATAGTAGTAGGCATCCATCCGTCTCAGGAGACTATGGAGTTACAAAACTATTGGGTGGTGACCCATGACTCGCATGTCTAGGTCATCCTATGTCCATTATATTACCGAACAAAGCTGATCTCATTGAGACCTTTAAAATACTGTTCTGTACAAACTGGAGTATATTAATCCAGACTACTTTAAAAAAATCAAATGTAACTCGTATAAGATGTAATAGCCTTAAGCCACAGTGTAGGACAGAAAACAAGACATCTTGTTCACCCACCGTGTTATAAACCCACGGTTTATAACATTGTGAAGACCTGCTGCTTGAGTAACAGCTTCTCCTCCGTATCAACCTACCCTGGCTTTGCGCCCTGGAGAGGCCACTCCAGACCGACAACCAGAGCGCAACTTTATAGTCTCCTGAGACTGATGGATGCCTTCTACTATTTATCTGACTTGACCTTGTTACTTATTACCTCCTGAAGTCGGATAGAAGACCGCTCCTCCTGATCAGTGCCGTCTAAACTGCATTATGAATACCGGACATATTTATCAGCTTCGTCCCTCACTCCACTATCTCCCATTCACACTAGTAATGTACTTTAGTCGCTGTCTCTCTTGAAATCCCTAATCTTTCGTTTTGATTTTGATTTTTCAAAATCGTTTTGATTTTTATTTGATTGTCTGCTTGCAAGCTTCTCTCTATGGACGTCTGCGATGTGTTCCTTTGTATTGTTTCCATCTCGTCATCGTAGAGGGACCCTCTTGTTAAATTTTAAAATCCCCTAACCACTACTGTCATAAACTCCTTTTGCGTGAAATTTTTCAGTTCCGTTCATGCGCTACCACTCTGTTAACGGATAGGTCGAAGTCCTATTTCTCAAAAACGAATTCCTTATTTGGGTTTCAACCCCTGACACTCATAACGTAATCTACAACCGTGAGCGGGATAGATAGTTAGGTATTACGAATAACAACCTGTGTTAAACTGTTAAACGTAACCTGTCTCTGTGTCTTTCCTCCCGTCACCATAATAGGTGGGAAACGGCACTGGCTAGGTTATATATATATATTGGCCACACATTAACTCGTGAGCACTAATGGAACAAAGACCTGCGCCTTTCTATTAGAAATTAATTGCTCCGCACATCTTCACAGAATGTCCTGATTTTAAAGATGATCGGACATTTTACTTTGCTAGTATTTCCCTGACAGTCATTTGCCCCTCGATGAAATCCTTGGTGAATCTGATACCTTTAACAACGCTTGTCATATGTCTGTTTGCTCTCGTATATTGGCATCGTAAATATCTAGGATTTCTATACTGTTTGGTGTCACTGACAGTACTTAAATTAATAGTCTTCTGGGCTTGGTGCGTTCTCTCGATAATTAATTTGACTGGTATGCCGTTTGCAAACAGGTCTTTGATTCATCCACGCTTGTAATGTTGCAGACTTCATACCGTATTTGTTGGACATAACGACCAGTGACCTATATACAGTACATGTAAGACCATTTGGCCTAACGCCCTGTTTATTATTATACTCTGGCTATAATAGTGTATAGCCTAAAGCTATAAATTGGAAAATCTGTGTCTGAAAAGCAGTTTTTAGTTTAGTTCATTTATTATGCACCCCATACCCATCTTGTGGGCGGTAGTGGAAAGGGTTACAGAGGCACATAATGGGTTTAGGGACTGAACCTCACAATTCATTTAGCTAAGCAAGTTACAATCTTAATGAGCTAGTTACAAAATTCAGTATAAGTCGTCACATCAACAATGGATTCGAGATCGACCACAAGTACAGTTTCTAAATTAAGCAACTGGCATATGTGGAGAGCTAGTGTCACAATTGATTTGTTTGTCCTGCACATCGCCCCCCATCCAGTGGGCAGCGGTGGATAGGTTACAATCACTTAGTTACTACCTACAGTTAGCAAACTGGGGATATTTGGCTAAAATTTCTGGTAGCAGATAATTTTGAATGAAATATTTACACATCGTTGGTACATTAGTTATAGAACTGTCTCTGAATTCAAGTATCTTTTCGCACTGCATCACATAGTGACGGAGGGTGTGCGAATAATTTTGTTGACACAGTTTACATTTGGTCAGGTCTACATCAGCAGATAATGAGAATTCCCAGAGATGCTTGTAACCGAGTCTGAGCCGAGCAGTAGTGACATCTAGAAGTCTGCTGATTTTATTGGATGAACCATAGATGTGTGGCGCCTCTTGCGCAGGAGCAGAAAAAACTCGGTGCATAGGTTTGTGTGGGTGTTTATAACCATTACCAGGGCAACAAAGGGCAGGGGGTGAAGGGGACTCTTCGAGTTAGGTCATTGTAGGTTGGGGAAAAGGCTCATCAGAGTAATATGCTTTAGTTTAGAAGTTTATATGTCCTTTTTTCGTAGATTTCATGTACTGGGAGGACGGCGGGGACGAGTACCATCCCCTGGAGGGGTCGCTCCTGCCTCTCTGGAAGTTCACTACAGACGACACGCGCTCTCTAATCGTCTCTGATGTGTGCTGGAGCCCTGTGTACGCTGACCTATTTTCCGTCTCCTACACCACTGGTCAGTAGTTGTGCTTAGAAGCCTTCAAATGCATATGTATAGAAGAAAATTATAGCATCAGTCAAGATAATTAAGTAATACATCCATAGTACTGAAAGTTGGTAAACAGAGACGATAAACAAACGAACAAATCCACAAGGGCCGTGACGAGGATTCGAACCTGCGTCCGGGAGCTTCCCAGACACTGCCTTAATAGACTGAGCTACGACAGGGTAAAAGGGTTGAAACCGAAGTTCTACTGAACTTACTGGATCCCGTAGCCTCTCCGAGGCACAAACCAGGCTTTTACACAACCCCCCCCCCCCCACCTGCACCCGAGCTATGTCAACAGGCCGTTCTCCCTCTTCGCCCTTTTCTCTCTTATCTTTGTATAAAGAATATTCGTTTTTTTACTGTACTACAAATAAAGGACCACTCCTCGAACGTGTCAATTAAACTGTGGCATGAGGCTAGAAACTGATAGAAATTCAACATATTTATGTATAACGCCAAAAATTATGTAAATAAAATGGGTGGCTGCGATCGAACGTTCAGTAATTTTATCTTCTATAAGGACGGCCGTTTCAGGAAAGATCATACACACAGTTGTCGCGAAGCCGTCTGTTGGTATGTAGAGTAAATTTATCATGGTCACCCAGGCAAAAGCTGATAGTTTAGGACACACAATTAAACAACATATATCGCGATTTTTTGCCCTGAGATGGAGGTCACAAAACGCTGTGTTCTATAGAATGCAGTTGGCATGCCATATCGTAATCAGGACGATTGTTCTCTGCTACATCCGCGTTTATCCTATCCCGCTTTCCTCTTAGTCTCCTTCTGGTTGCAGGGTATTGGATACTAGCGTACTTTAATACAGTATTATATCATACATAATACTAGATGGATCCACAACATACGAGTTCATCTGTCAGCTCCTCAATCCAAGGGCCTCTGACTTGTCCTCCGGCTCGTCCTTCGGCTCGTCCTCCAGCTTGTCCACCAGCTTCAAGAAACGCTCCGGGTTCCGAATAAATCTAGAGTGCCACCTGTCCGCGGCCACCAGTCTTCCAACGGGTCCCAGAGCAACGGGGAGAATAATAACATCATATACAAGACCCAGGATGCTAGGAGGACCGCGGCCATGTGGTTGCTGATATACTATGCGGCGGCCATAAGTATTACTACGGTATCCTACCAGGACATCGAGGTCCCTATCCTGCGTGGGAGACATTCCAAACCCTGAAGGATCCTCTAGGAGGCGGGTCCTAGAGGATCCAGCAGCAACACACCTAGCCACACAATCAGCTCCGTACACATCTCCACACCCAACCTCCTGAGCCTCGCACCTAGCCGTGCACGCAGGTTCAAACCCAGCTATATGCCTAGCATCAGACCCAGCGCTATGCCGAGCGCAGCAGCCAGGTTTACGCCTAGCATGTAAAAGAACCCCCCAAACCAGCATTCCCTTGACTACTTTTATAAAAAGATTATCAATTTTCGTTTTACGGTATTATATTATATTTCAGATGAAATTATTGGTCATTATCATTTAGTTAAAAAAAAAAGATGTATACTCCTACGTTACTTCATAAAGAGGGAGGGAGGGGAGACCTATCCCTCTCCCTACCTTTCTTTTACCACCCAGATTGATGGTTGAGGTAGATGTGATGTTGCTCCTTGCTGCTATGTTGAGTGTGACTGCTGGTTGAGGCAGATGTGAGGTGTTGCTTGTGCCAGAACAGTGTAGGAGTTGTCGAGATGCTGTGGTCAGGCGGCCTTGTGTCCAGTCCACCTGACCTCTCTAACCCCAGGATGCTTGTAATATGCCAGATGGGAACTGCTTGGCTTCTGGTGGGTGCTCTTAGCAGTTCCTGCAATTTATTGAGAACATGCATTGATAGAATTATTACATGTGTGGACCATAGTACATATATCGACGTACAAAACAATTAGAAAGTAGAAATCTCTACTACTGAATTTGGACAAACCGGAAAAGGTTTTTTGTTTATGTTGTAAAGTCAACATAACCTAATTCTCGTTCTGAAACCAATATTATAGTAATAGTAGTAGTAGTAAACATCCATCAGTCTCAGGAGATTATGGAGTTGGGCTCTGGTTGTGGGTCTTTAGTGGCCTCTCCAGGGCGCAAAACCAGGGTAGGTTGATATGGGGGTAAAAGCTGTCATCCATGCAGCAGCTCCTCCTCTCTTTCTCCACGGCGCCGAAAGTCTCCAATGGAAAGGCAAACTCCAATACAATTGGTTCCAGCGCCGTCACAGGAACTATCAGAACTAGGTTGAAGGCAACAACAAACTTCCCCAGGGGCTTCAACTTTGGAGTTTACCTCAAAGTTGGTAAAAGAAGACACAGGGAATCCAAACCTGGAGACCGCCGTGGTCGGGGCCGAAGAACCACCACCCCAGCAAGGGCAAGAACGGCCTGATTTACGAATGCGTCTTGATGGTGATCAACTGAAACTTAGAGGAGCAAAGACAGGATGGGTTGTTTTTGATGTGGGTGATTGCATTTAGTGTGTATTTTCTCATTCGTACTTTTGGTGGCATTAGACCAGCTGAGATTGTGTTTGACAGGTGATGTTGGTGCTTGCGAGGAGGGCGGGATGGTGTGTGTGTTCACCCTCAAGAACCCCAGCAACCCGGAGAGAACATTTCGCTCTCAGTATGGCGTTACCTGCGTCAACTTCCATCCCAAGGTAACTACACTATGCTCGTTTGCATCAAATGGCATTATCTTATTATCAGTAATAATATTAAAAAAATACCAAGATGAGAGTAAATAAAAGTCCAGATAAATAAGATATTATAGATAAGTCCAGATAATAAATAAATAAATAAAGTTAGTCCTGAGCTAAATAAAGCCCATCTTTGGCTAACTGCCAACAAACTCACCCTCAACATTGACAAAATTTTATATATTTTGTTTGGTAATAAATCCTCATCAAATAAATCTCAGGATAAACAATACCTAAATTTGTAACAAAGTAGATGGCAAATTCCTTGGCGTTCTCATTGACCACAAGCTGAATTTCCAGGGACACATTCTAAATATATCATAAAAGTTTAAAAAACTGTTGGCATTCTTTCTAAGATCAGATATTATGTACCTCGGCCTGCTCTGGTGACGCTCTATTACTCCCGCAGCTATCCTTATCTCAACTATCCTTATTTGTGCTTGGGGTTCTACTACCCAAAATCATTTACGTCCTCTAATTACTCGACACAAAGCTGCTATTAGGACAGTATCCAACTCTGGCCCCAGACATCACTCGGTACCACCTACTCAAATCTCTGAATATGTTAGATATTAAGTCACTGCACATCCTCTCATGTGTATTATATATATACATATAAAACGCTGAACTGTAATGTCAATCCTGACCTTAAAAGCTTCCTTGAAGGTTGTAACAGAACCCATGAGCACCACACCAGAAACAAATATCTTTTTGATATTCCAAGAGTATGACTAAATCAAACTAGAAATGCTCTACAAATCAAGGGACCCAGAATGTGGACTGACCTTCCCAATCATGTTAAAGACAGTACCTCTCCCAACCAGTTTAAGATAAAAACTAAGCACAACCTAATTAACTCCCTGTAACCTACTTTACTCCTAAAATGTCAACCCATGTCTGCTATTTTTAAACAATGCTGTTTGTCGACCAAATTGTATTTCTGTTATTTTCTGCCATGTCCCCCCATTTTTATTTTTATATGTTCTCAACACAATTTATACTTTAATCTCAATTAGGATTAAGTTTTAGTCTTTAGTGTTTTTCCTGCCCGAAACGCTTTGCGTCATAGTGGCTTTAGGCATTGTATGTGCTAGCTCAATCTATAAATCCATCAATGTTTGTTTCACACCTTGTATGTATGTACTTTACCTGAATAAACATTTGAATTTGAGTAGCATTTAATTGTGGATAAAGAGATCTACATGAACTCCACAAGTGGTCGGAAGACTGGCAAATGCTTTTTAATATTGAAAAATGCAAGACCTTGCATGTGAAGCATAATGATCCATGTCACAACTACCAAATTAACAACATTACCTTGCAGCAGATTTATGAAGAAAAGAACAATGGAGTCAGAATCCATCATTCACTGAAAGTTGCACAAGTGGGAGCAGCAGTTAAAAAAAAGGTAACCAAACCCTAGGAATAATCAAGCATACTGATGAAAGCAGGTAGTTATTAAATTAAGCGACTCTAAGGAAAGCAGGTAGTTATTAAATTGTATAAATCTTTGGTGCACACTTGGATTGTTGTATCCAAGCATGGAGACCTCTTCTTCAGGAAGACAGCTTCTATGGAGAACGTTTAACACCAGGTAACAAAAATCATTCTAGAACCAAGTCAGTTCTTATACCAGGAATGGTTGAGGGCCACAGGGCTAACACTTCAAACCAGACATGACAGAGTTGATCTTGTTGAAACTTAAAATACTGCACAATTTAGAGGGTTGATCCAGACTTCATCAAAAGGTCAGATGTAACACAAATAAGGAACATCGATTTCAAGCTTAACAAGTCACAATGTAGGGCTGAAAACAGGAAAGCCATACCCTACCAAAGCTGTAAGTGCCAAAACTCGATTGAACTTTTAAAATCCAATATGAAAAAATTAGGACAAATGGGGAGAACCTTTGACAAGCCACTGGTTTCCTGCTCTTGTTAAGGCCACTAGAGCACTACTGGGCCCTCAGATAAACTCAGGTACTGTATTCATTCATTGTTTGCTGCCCTTTTATCATCTATAACAGCTTGGTTAATCTCATCTTTCAAGGGTCCTACCAAGTCTTTTGTTTTGGTTTTAATTCTTATATAGAGAACAACTTTGTATCTTTGTGTTGGGCAAATTTTCTTTTGTCTGATCTAATTTCCCTGATGGCTGAATTTAATGCTCACTTATACAGGTTAGTCTTAATGTTGTTCTCATCTTTGATAAGCTTTAATTTGTGGGTTAGGATATTAAATTTTAAAGTTTGATATTTGAAGTACACTGATATATATCTTCTTCTAATCTTGTGGGTTGGTGATGGTGGTGCTACTGGTGGTGGTGGTGATGCGGGAGTCAGCATGGAAGCATGTTAAGTGCCGGCTGGAGTGATGGTACAGTGGTGGTGTACGACCTTACGTTCATCCAGTCACCGATCATAATCTGTTCTTCACCTGTGAATGGCAAGCATCTTCTTCCAGTTACCCAGGTAGGTGATGTGTAGAAGATAGAGGCTGTTATTAGCCAGTTACCTCTTGGGGATCTGTCAAGCTTCCCTTGTCCATTTTGCCAGACTTGGCTCCAATTGCTCAAATGCTGAATTTGTTCACTGTACATTTTATTTAAAGCTTATATGCCTATATATTATTTAACCTTTTTGTATCATTGTTGTGATTATATTGTTCCTTTACTTTTTTAATGAGAATTTTTTCACCATTAAAATAGGACTACATACTGTACTTCAGTGTGTTTTGAATTCAATTGTAATTAAATACTTTTGTAATGCTAAAGATAAGAACAAAGTTCTCGAAAGGTAAGGTCCACTAATTTTCTCCCTTCCTTTGGGAAGTATGTGATTACCACCATCAGCCAGTGTGGTATTACAGTTAATGATACTATCTTTCAGATACGATGGATAGAGACAGATGCACTGGCTGGTTTGTGCCTTTGTTCTGTGTCACTGGATGGCCAGGTGACCCAGTGGCAGGTGACGACATCAGCTCTCTTACCTTGTGACATCCTCGACTTGACTACTGATAACCTTCCTACATGTGTCAGCCGTCATCACCCTCCAGCTGGTCATTCAGGCTTCCACGGTAGGAAATGCACATGCATGTCTTCTATACTGTTTCTATAAATAGAAATGTCTGTCAGTCTGTTTGAGATTGGAAGCCAGATGCTTAGGGATAACATCATTCAATTTTGCACCTTGATTCTTGTGAGGGGTATGTGCCCAACTTGATCAAGTGGCCATAGCAGCAAAATTTTGCGAAACGCCTAACTTTTAAATGGTTAGACAGTTGGTTCTGCCTACCACCCCCTGGTCCAAGATCCATCTACTGAACTCTCCTATGTGGCCACCCTGGCTTTGAGTTTGAAATCTTTGCATTTGTTTTTCAGCAGTTTTTAGGGTTTTAATGTTTGACATGTTCTGAGAGAGAGAGAGAGGGGAAGGGTAGAGCTATAAGGATGGGGGGGAGGGGGAAGGGTAGAGATATGAGGGAGGGAAGAAGAAGGGTAGAGATAAGGGGAGGAGGGAGGGAGAGAGAGTAAGTGAGTGCAGACAGACTCGGGGACTGTCTGGTACCCCTTCTAGTGTGTGTACTGCAGCCCGCCCTCAAAACAAAAACCCAAAGTACATTCCTCGTACCCGCCAAACCCCCTGTTTATGAATGAAAAATGGTTTACACACTTCATTTAATTATTTATTTATTTATTTATATACAAGAAGGTATATTGGGTTTATGAGAGTACTGTACAGAGAATTGAAGTTTTACATTCTTGTAAAGCCACTAGCATGCATAGCGTTTCGGGCAGATCTTTAATCTAACAGATAATTTTAAGATGGTAATTTCTAGCAAAATTAAAAATGTTTACAGGTACATTGTAAGAAAGTATAAAAATACATTGTATAAGAAATTTGACAGGATTAGTAGGTACATTAAAGTAAATTTAAGGACAATCCACAGATACATTGTAGCATATAAATAAATACCATAGGTAGGAGACTATGAAGATGAAATTAGGTACTTTTTTTGGTTTTATTTTGGAATAAGGCTTTCCAATTCATTAGGGAGTGAGTTCCATAGACTTTTATTTGCAGTGTGTTTACACAGAATAAGTTTGACTGGGGACATCAAAGAGATATCTGTTTTTGGTGAGGTGATTATGTGTTCTATTACATCTGTCCAGGAAGAGTTTCAGAACAGGGTTTGCACTTAAGAACAGGGTTTTGTAAATGTAATTGGCACAAGAGAATGTGTTGAGTGGGTTTATGATTAGCATGTTTAGGGATTTAAACAGGGTAGGGGGGCTGAGTAGTGTTCGAAAGATTTTGCAAGATTTCTTATGCGCCGACTCTATCCATTGTTTAAAAAGCAGATTCAACATAACAGACAAGGTCAAGAGCTTAAACTCATTCGGTACATAAGCAGCTAAACACATACATTTACAGAGATAAATTCCCTTGCACCTGATGCTTCTATTCACCTAGCAGTAATTCAATATTTAACAAATAATATTTATTGGTTCTAACCTGGGAGATGGTTAGCCGTTGGTGTAGAATAGATGGATTTGACTGATGCTACATAATATTTCCAAAATTTTGTATTGTTTTTATTATTGTATTCATAACATTTTTGTTATGTTTAGTAAATAGTCTTTGATACATAGGGAAGGGGACATGTATAGCCTTCAGGCCTGATGATGTGACAGAGGTGTTGGTGGGTTTGGACACTGGGTGTGTGTACCAGATGTCCACCTCATGTCCCACCCACACCCTCATCTGCTACACTTCCCACACTGCTGCCGTCAGGACCATAGCCTGGAACCACCACCACCACCAGGTCTTCATCTCTTGTTCTCTAGACTGGACTGTCAAAATCTGGCTTCAGTATTATCTGTGAGTTTTCCAAACCAATTTTTCTTTTCACTGCTAAAGTACCGCATTTGTTCCTTGCTGACTTCTTGGATGGAAATTTGCCTTTATTAATGATTTTAAAATTTTAATGAAAATCAGTCTAATAGCCAAGTCCCTGTTAAGGTTTGCTTGTCATTTGAACTAATCTAGAGTGATATACATCATGCCCAACAGATTACAAAGACAGCTGAACGAAACAAATAACAAGGTAAGATTAAAAGTGAACGTAGCAAAGTCTCAGGTTATGTTCATAAGGTTTACAATTTCCTGTCCCATAAAAACCAATATACAACTGAAAGAGGGAAATTATTTTATATTTAGATATTCAAATGGTCTGAAAGCACCACTTTTTTTATAGCTAGAAAAGTGTCTCCTTCAAATGAAAATCAATCATATTTAATTTTTTTGTTATTTAAATAAATGATATATTGTCTGATGAGTGAAATTTTAATGTTATGTCCATAGGGCTTCTTGCATAGAATTATTATTTAAAGCACTCTGTGAGCTGAAGTTGAGAATTGCAATATGGTGTCCAAATGACCCATCAAATTCATTGCTTTTCCCTCTCCAATAGCTGTGCTCTATATCAACCAATAAGAGTTAATTTTGGCAAGTGCTAAGGTCATGACAAGACCTAATAAGAGATCAGAAGCTAGTAGTGGGAACAGCCATTGTAAATAGTGAAAGTCAGACTTTATAGCCTGAAATTTGTACCAAAATTTTCTTGTATAACCTATCTATTGTTTTGCCATGGACATGACCACTTTCCAGGAATGAGTCAACATATATATATTTTTGTTTTCAAGTATTTCTTAGTTTCTCTAATACACAATAATATTAATGTTATCAGGAAATAGGATATTCTTTCAATTATGTAATTTCAGTTAGCCGATTGTACTAGATCTCAAACAGAGAAGAAACCTTTTCAAGAGTACTTTTTATGGGTTACAGGTCTCCCCTAATGACCTTGGACCTAGGTGGACCTGTAGCTGGTGTTCAGTGGGCGACCTTCAGCAGCAGTGTTTTTGTAGCAGTAACTGACGATGGCTGTGTCCATGTGTATGACCTCTCTGTTAGGAAGACTCACCCACTGTGTTCCCAGAGGCTCCTGCACCGTCGACACCTACTGGTTTCTTGTGTGGCCCTCAACCCTTGGTACCCAATTGTCCTGGTGGGTGGTGAGAGGTGAGTGTGCAGAGAGAGGGAACATAAGAATTATGCACAATCTGCCATGGGGTGATCATGCATTCCTTCATCAGTATTTCCCTGTTAGTTATTTATTTACATCCTTTTTTTTTACCGTCTCTTTGTAGCAAGTCATTTGTTTTCACTTAGAAAAGATAATTATTAAAGAATTCACAACATGGTTTTACTTAAGGCCACTGATGCTTAACAGATTTACTCTCGTTCTTTTCTAGTTCTGTACTGTATATTTCATGCAATTGACAGATGAAAGGATTGTGAGCTTTATACCTGGTTTTATACCTTGACATAAAGCCTTAGATACTGTGCCTCATGAGACTATAAAGTTGGACACACATGGTATAGGAGAGGTTATCTTAAGCAGTTAGCATAAATGGAGTTAGATCAGAGTGGGAAGCTGTTGTAAGTTGTGCCCCAGGACTCTTTATCGAGGGACCTCTATTGTCTATCATGATATGGCAATTTATTATTTACATATATCATAAGATGATAGACTTTTAAAATAAATAAAAAATTGGAAGATTTGTTATTATTAATATATATATGCGAGTGTTTACATTCTTGTAAAGCCACTAGTACACATAGCATTTCAGGCAGGTCCTTAATCTTAATTTTCCCTGGAATAACCCACCAAATCGTTTAACAACCAGGTATCCATTCACTGCTGGGTGAACAGAAATGTAGTTAGGATTGGTACCAAGTCAGGAAAATACAGTTTAATACTGAAAAATATTGGGTTCAGAATCTAGGTAATGATAATAGTTACCAGATATCATCTGGACAGTGTTGAAGTAATTATCAAGAGGAGGAGTTAAGAGACAGTGTTGAAATTACAAAATCTAAATTAAAGAAAAATCTGGGAGTAAACGATTAGCAGGGATTTAAAAAAAATGCATAACTGTATAGAATATAGTAAAGAGGACATTGGGATTTATTTCTAGAAGTTAGCAATAAAATGTCTAATGAGAAAATCAGTAGGAGCCATGAGAAGGATTTGATCCTGCATACTCTTAAGCACTCTCCTTAACCCAGTAGACCATAATATGCAACTGAAGTAATGTATCGTGGGATTACTTTTGTAGCATATCGTGTTTGTGAGAGTTTGGGAGTACCTAGTGTACAGGTGCAAATCCTCCACAACTACTGACTGACACATTGACACCACATTAAAGTGATTTCTTTGTGCAAGATGTCTAATGTTATTCTCCAGTTTTATCTTGATCTTGTTTAGCAACATTTAGAATATGCAGTTCAATTTTGATCACCATACTACAAAATTGCCTTAAATTCACTTGAGCAAATACAGAGAATGATGACAAAGTTAACCCAAGGAATTAGAAACCTTCCATTAAGAGTTTAACAAAACTTACTCAGTCTTCAGGAGAAAGTTGAGGGATAACATGATTGAAGTCTATTAAAAGAAAATGAAGGAGTATAACAAAAGGAATGTAAATAAGGTTCTAATTATACCAACAGAACTCGAACCAGTCTATATGAATTGGAAAAGTTTAGATTCAGTTAAGTCATGGGTAAATACTTGTTTGGAAATGGTTGTTGATTTTTGGAATAAATTATTGGGTATCATAAGATGTGTTTACTAGTTGTGTTTTTGCGGGGGTTGAGCTTTGCTCTTTCGGCCCGCCTCTCAACTGTCAATCAACTGTTTACTAACTACTTTTTTTTTTTTTTTTTTTTTTTTTTTTTTTTTTTTTTTTTTCCCCCCCCCACACACACACACACCCCAAATATGAGGGTCCATCTAGTCAGCCACAATGTGGGAAGACTCACCAACAGAAAACGAGAATATTCAAACCCCACACTCCGCAGCCCGTGACAGCTGACTAGCTCCCAGGTACCTATTTACTGCTAGGTAACAGGGGCACTTAGGGTGAAAGAAACTTTGCCCATTTGTTTCTGCCTCGTGCGGGAATCGAACCCGCGCCACAGAATTACGAGTCCTGCGCGCTATCCACCAGGCTACGAGGCCCCTTAATAAATATGTGGAAATAATGGACCGTTGTTTCAAGCATGGATTAAAACATAAGAATGAGTTCATGTGGATATAAATGAGAGCTGCCTCATATGGGCAAACAGACCTGCAGTTTCCTGTATTTTTATGGTTTTATAAAGCTTAAAGTCTACAGTATTAATCCTGTATCCCATTTATGTAACCAAAATAGTAAAATGATCATATGGTTTATGTCGTTCAAAGACTTGCCCATATCTCGGTATATAATTAGTGGATCTTGTAAATCATAATACAATTACTGTAATATGTAAAATTTCAAACATTATTCAATGAATATTTGTTTACAAATAAAATACTCTGACTTTAATTTGTCTTTACTTTGCAGAGGTTACCTGTTGGCTCTAAAGCTGTCTCCAAATCTCAGGCAGATTTGTACCAATCCAAAAGGTTTTGATGAGATTCCTATTAAGGATCAAGAATTGTCTAAGATAGAAAGACTCATTTCAGTCAACAAAGATATTGTGATGCATTCTTTTACTTTTCGAAAGGATACAAAGACAGATGACAGTTCTTAAGAAGCTAAGGCAGTACAGTATTATTTAAGTTAGAGAGAGAAATAGGTGACAAATGTGTGTGTACTGTATTGCTACTTGGTTCTTCAAAAGTAACTGTAGAACTGCAAGATAAACAACTGATGATATTAAGAGTGAGTAACATTGTCTTGAGTGAGCCTACTGTCTTGGGAACTTCTCACAATAAAATGGGTAAAAAAATTTTTTTAAAAGAATTTAAATACTTTATCAAATAATAGAAGGGTTACTGCATGATAAAGTATTACATGAAAACAACCCAACATTGCATTGTCATCAATATAAATTGAGAATAGGAAGATAGGTACAATACAGAATGATTTGGTGGTGTATGTGAAAAGCTGGGTGTTTGTATAAGTACAGTATTGTAGCCAGATAGAATAATTTCAAATGAAGGAATTGCACTGTCATTTTATATTCAACTGAAGTTATTTTATGATTACTGATTAATATAACAAAAACTATAATGTTTAATAATCCATTTGGCCATTGTTTCTCAGCGGCAACTGCCTTGCCATGTTGGTGGGGCTAGAGTGCTCTGTTGGCAAATATCTTTTTGCACCTCCTGAGGGAGAGCCAAAGCTGTCTGTGGCTTTGCCACTCCTGTGATTGCAGTACATATCGAAGCCCGATATTCCCAGGGTTACCTTCCATTCCAGACAGTCTGTCATGTGTATTATTGGGGCTTAGTTTCTGAAACAAGCTGTGTTGCTTTGTGTTGATGAGGTGCCAGTTATGATAATGGTTGGCAGCAGGGATTTTGGTCTGAATATTGGCATGGCATGGTAATCAATCTCAAAATGCCAGGGGCACACTATTATCCAAGTGTACACTTTCACTTGCCCCTCCTCATGATAAACATAATTGCTCCCCCTGTATTGCTAAAATTAAACTTGACAGTTGAAACCTCCAGACCTCAGTCATCCTCAGGGTGGTCAAATGTGCTTCTCAGGAATGTGACCTCGCACCACACCAGTGCACTACCCAATTGGAGAGTCCACATCTGCATTAAATGTGGCAAGGACCCATGATGCATATTTGCAATCCATTGCTCACTATAGAAAGGAGCAGTCCATTCTTCAACTCTATCAAGAGGACAACATTTCTTTTTTTTCCGAGACAGGTTGTCAATTGCAATGCCTTGGCACCTTCACTGATAACCTGCATGCTCCTCCAAAATCCTCTATCAACTTTTCTTCTGGTCCCCAGCTCCAAAATTTTCATATTCTTGCTTTCTAGATTTCCACAGAGTTGCATACTTCCAACCCCTTCATAGTCTCCTACTGAAAGCTTTTCCTTTGTTCTTCACTCGCAACATCCATGCATCTTCCTTGCAAGACCCCTCCTTCATGCTCGAACCTATCCCCCTACTTCCCCATCTCTCAGCCCTCCCATTTCCAATATGGATCTCTTAGGTCCCCCTCCCCCCTCTATTATTCCTGTCCTGCACTCTGCCTTTTGCCCATTCCATCATCCTCACTATCACAGTTGGTCAAGGGCTCTGGAAGAGCAGCATGAGCATTCAGGACATCAGTGAAGAGGACAAGGCATAGCAATTGATGTCTTGTCTTGGAAAAAACTGATCGAGTAGGAGAATGAACTGCTCCTTTTTATAGTGAGCAAAGGATCACAAATATGCATGATGGGTCACTGCCACTTTTAAAAGAGGCCATGGCATCACAACCAACATCGTGTCTGAGAAAAGAGGATGTTTTGCTTTAGTTGGAGAATGGACTGCTCCATTGTATAGTGAGTGAGTACAGGTTCACCATGCATATTTGCAGCCACCATCATAATTAATGCAGTAAACCAGTATGGTTGTGCAACCATTCTTGACATGCCACAAAGTGGGCAATAAAAAAAAAAAAAGACACCTTTTAAATAAGGGTTGATAATGAACATACTGTGTTTCAAACTTGGATCCATTGATGGTTCTATGGATTGATGTTCTTATTCAGTTGTACTCAATCTGATTTTTTTTCTACTTTATGCAGTAAGTAAAACCTTTGAGAAGTTATAAAAGGGAAAAATATTTTAGCAGATCAATATGGGCATCTACATATATTTCAATTTTTTTTTTAATTAAAGAGATGCATATAAAGGATTGCAAGTCTGCTAAACTATTTGCTTCCCTTTAGAATATCTAAATCTACCCTGCATCTAATAAACAGTTTGAGATGTTATAAAGTAGAAAAAATATATTGAGTACAACTGAATCAAGACATCAGTCCATAGAACTACCAGTTCACCCAAATTTGAAACCTTGGGCATGGTTGTTACCTTTCCTTATTTAAAAATGACTGTGGCAGCAGAGCAACACAATTCTAAAATTTGAGGCACCATGGCCAAACTTTCAATGAGCATTGCATTGGAGTGTTAAAGGGAGCGTATATGAACATTAGACCACCTCTAGGATAAGTGGGGTCAGAGAGATTAACTATCAAATGTTATTTTAGTAACAGAGAGGGCAATTATGCCTACTTTGAATGTGTCCACTTGGACAAAGTAGTTACCCTGACTTTCTAAGATACTGTAGTCTGAATATCAGCATGCCAGTTCAAGATCTCTGCTACCAACAAAACGATGAGTGGAAAAATAATACATGTACAGTACAGTACCTATATTTGTGTTCGGCTAAACATTTTCATCATAATGGGAACCTCGCCAATATGAAGATGGGAGGCAAGATGGTCACCTTGTTCCCGAAACTGTATTCCAATAATACACGTGCTAGATTGTCTGGAATGGAAGGTTACATTAGAACAAACAGCCCAAGTGAGTGAAAATGCAGATAATTTTACTGACAAGCATATAGTGATTTAAGATAGAAATATTTAGTCTAACTTGGTGGTCAAAACAAGCCATCAAATATAGGAGCATGTGAGGTACGAGAACTCGACCAAGGGTAAGTATGACACCTTTGCTCTCCAGAAATAGAGTAAAGATGGTGACATAGTAGTAGCCATCACCACAGACATTGCAGGGGTAAAGGAAGAGGACTAAAATGGTAATCAAGGAGCCAAGCTGAGCCAAGTCAGAAGACTACATCTTGGGAGGAGGTAACAGCTTGAGCCACACCAGTTCAAGAGATTGACAAAGTAAACATATAAGGATTTATATTAAACTTCCCATCCCTCATCCACCACAAAGCCAAACATGAGAAGGCATAAAAACCCAAGGCAACTCCAGGGTTGCAAGTTTATGCAGGTAACCAGTAAATGGCAACCTAAGGACCTGTAGGGATACTAACCTTCCAATGCCCACTAACCAGACTAGCTGATCGATCCAATGGGATCCTGTTGAACCTCCCAGTTATCCCTATCCACGAAAGAAGTGTTGCACCCCTAGGAGCCGCAGTCACTTGGTAGGCACATCACCCAGATGAAAGTAAAACTGGGAATATTACCTTTAGGCATCCAGGTACCTTCTCCATGCATGGCAAAGGCACAGACACCTTTGGTCTTGCTTCTTCCAAGTTGGCATTCAATGGAACTTGCCAGGCTCAAAGTATTCTTGCCTCCATCATCATAACAATGTAGCTGCCATAAGGGGAAGTATAAACACATACATTACTTTGTAAAATATAATGGGGAATTGGAAATGTATGTTTTTCTGATTTGTTTCACAGTTTAACATAATTAGTTCACAACAGATTGGATCAGTTTGATTACCAGGCAGGGCGAGATGTTTTGGGCATGTTTCCTTATACCTGATGCACCTATTCTCAAAGCAGTTAATAGGCATCTAGGAGTTGGGCAACTGTTGTGGATTGCATCCTGGAGAATGTCAGTCATTGGCCTTGAGGGAACCTTGATAAGCTTAAACAGGATTTCTGTCCCTGATGATGGAAAATCAAGAAACCACTTTGGGTCTATTAGTTAGCTGGAGTGGTAGAAGCATGCACATTGTACACTTGTTGAATAATTATTAAAATGTATAGCAAGTTTGGGAAGAATTAAACTTTTTAATGTATATAAATGCATTATAAGCATATTTTTATATTAATAAATATATACATCTACAATATTGTTTTCTTACTTTGACATAGGTTATGGAAAAATGTTTCAATAATATTTGTATCCTGCATGATCAAAATATATACTTGAAATGGCAGTTGCCACAGGCGAAAAAGAAAGTGATGCTGACTGACACTGGAAAAGCGTCGAAGGATGGGGTACACCTTAAAGAACCTAAAGGAAAGATGATGACAGAATCCACCTCAAGCAAAACTGCACCCACACCACACAACCCAACCAAAGGTGAAAGGACACCCATTGGAAAAAGCACAAGCAGCCAGCTACAGGCCAGCATGATCACTGCAAAGGCCAAGCCACCCAAAGGATGCACATATTCTTCCAAGAACCCTCTGTTTTATTGAGTAAATGCATCAATATGCTATTGAGTTCAGCACCAAATTCATTTACTTATCAGCAAATTTCCCAAATGAAGGAATTAGAACAATAATGGTCAATATCCTTTTAGAATATATTGCAACAGAGCATCTAAAAACCATAAAGAAATTTTGTTTTTAAAGTGGTTAGTTACAGCAACTATAACCCTAGCCAGAAATACTCTCAAGCACCTGGGTAACGGTACCTCATATGAACACAAAATGAAGACTAGCCACAAGAAAAATATAAGACCCTATGGTCTACATTACTTTGAGTCAATGCAAGAGACTTTTGGAAGATGCAAATCCTGTAGGTTGTTTTATATTTAGGAATTACATTTTCATAACCAAGATCAATCTGAATCCTGGGTTCACCCTAATAAAGTACTCTACCAATCATAGATACAGTAATCCCAGCTTGCAAAACATCTGCCTTGATCATCTTGTATAAATGAGTTTGGTTGTACAGTATATAAATAGGGCCTGCCACATATGGGCCAACAGGCCTTTTGTAGTTTTCATTATTGTTATGTTCTTGTATTGATCAAATGAATACACAATGCCCCTTTTTGTAAATTATATTATTACCAACATAAAAATAAAAACACTACTACCAGCCTAAAGATATTTACAACACAAACATTACAACAAAATCATTGATAATCTAGTAAATAGTTAATAATTTACTCTACTGTATACTTTAAAAGCTAAATAAAAGCAAATAATCTAGACAAACGTAATGTGCTTGAATTGCTTTGGTTTTAAATAAAACATCAAATAGGGAATTTTGTTCAAATATAAGGTTTAGTCTATGCATAAGCTGTGTACAGTACACTGTTTTAAGGTCATTTACAGCCACCTGACTAAACAAATTTTCCCGACGTATTTGTTTCTCCAAGAGGAAGAAAGAAAACCTAGATATTGGTCTTCTGCCAATAATTATGGCACTACATCTTCTTGGTTCCTATGACCCATCCTGTTATACACAACAGCAATGATTTAAATTATTTTTTATACCCTTCATTACCTTACATTAAATATATAATATTGCAAGTTATCATACTGATCTTGAACACTAATACTGTCACAATAATTCTTTAAAAGTAAAGTATAAGTATTTATGACAAAGGAAATAAAAACATAAAATTTTTCATGCAGAACTAGATTAAAAAAAAAATCTGACATAAAAGTTTAAATTTATCATACTGGATTTGTTACTGAGGAACTCTCATTCACAAAGACTTCTAAATTTAATGATACAGTATTAAAATATATCTTTAATCATAAGTACATATGTAAACTTACCCAATTATAAATATATAACCATTTATAAATAAAGCATTTGTTTTGATTTGATATGAATGAAGTTGGTCATTCGTGTTTGCATTTCACAAGAGAACAACTCTGTGGGTTTGATTTCAACAGAACAAACTACATACAGTATATAGAAACGGTATACAGGTGTAACACCAGATTATATTAACCTTGAAATATTTCCTGGCTACACCCTAGTCAGCTTGTTCATGTTTACGAATAATCCTGATAGTCTTGGCAAACAAACTTAATGGTACATCTTGAGTGTTTTTGCACACACCATGGGGAGCTGACTCCTTTAGTGCTGAACAAACTGGTTAGGAGTGCAAAACACTTTTTTCCTGTGTAGGCTGAATCAGCTGGGAACAGGACCACACCAGACTTTCCCACAAGAGTTGCAATGCCCCACCCTGATTCGGGGCATGGTAAAAGATTGTATATATGCCCCTATATGAGAGTTAGGAGAGAGTGCTGGAGGATAGAGAGGTAGTGTGGGCCACAGGTCATCAAGTGGGCCTCAGGAGACAGTGAATTCACCCAGGTCGTAGAGCAGGACCTAGAAGGTAATGTGTGTGATCTTTGATATTTTTCCATGTGTAGTGTCTAAACAATTGCCAGTGTTAGGGTAGGGACTTGTAGTCTGATGAATATCATATTTTTCTCTCGATAAACCTATGTTAAACTTTCCATCTGTGTCAATTAATGGGACTTATCTAGTTCCTCTGAGTTCAGTTATGTTAACAACCGGTCAGTAATTAATGACAGTTAGAAAAGGACTCTCAAAGCCAAGCAATGCTTCTTGCCTCATTGCTTGATATAGCTAAGTGACAGGCAAGATGGTGGCAGCATCTAGTTTGTAATTTTTTTCTGTGTAACATTTCCTTGGAAAGGTACCATTGGTTCCGGTTGTAACCATTTGTGGAACACCACATTTCAGTTTATATTACATTGCACCTAAATTACCAGTGTTTCAATCACTAGTATCATCAAGGTTTTAACTCTTGATGACCTGCACCCCACACTACCTCCAGCACTCTCTCTTCTAACTCTCATACAGGGGTATATGTACAATCTTTTGCCACGCACGGAATCAGGGTGGGGCATTGCAACTCTTGTGGGAAAGTCTGGTGTGATCCTGTTCCCAGGTGATTCAGCCTACACAGGAAAATGTGTTTTGCAAACCTTACCAGTTTGTTCAGCACTAAAGGAGTCAGCTCCCCATGGTGTGTGCAAAAACACTCAAGATGTACCATTAAGTGTTTGTCAAAACTATCAGGATTATTTGTAAACATGAACAAGCTGACTAGGGTGAAGCCAGGAAATATTTCAATTAACTCCAGCTGAATCTGAGGTCACATGGCTGACCTTACCATGGAGGTTCCCATGATGAGTCATGGGTGTACTTTCTCTGGGCATTACACAGGAACTGTACTTTCTCTCAAATACTAAATTATTCTTCCTGGTTCAAATTCCCAAAACCATACGCTATTCTTTTTATGACAACAACATTCAGTCTTCAGACAAAACAGACTTATTTAAATTCAACTTATTTTTAAATTCAACTCAAGCATTTCTTGCTTTATTACTTTAAATCATTATCGCTTTCACACTTCTCATTGTTTTCTCCATCTGTATCTTTTAACTCCTACTATAAGATATTTTCAATTAAAATAAGATATTTGTTACATTCCAATCACCTGGGCTTGGATGCTTGAACCGCGGACTCCACGAATGCGAGGCCAAAGCTTCTGGAAACTCTCCTTATCAAGGCTACTCTATAGTTCGGTCAATAGAGCTTCGGCCTCACACGCATGGGTAATGGAATGTTTATATCCACGGAAGTGTGGATGACAATTTATATTTGTTACTGTAAATATTAATTAGCCAAAGCAAAACACACGACTAATAAATAATTCAAATGTTTTACAGTACCTGAATTTATCTGAAGGCCACCATCTCTAATGGCCTTGATTAGGACAAGAAGCCAGCAGTTTGTCAAAGATCCCCCCTCCCTTCCCATTATGTTGCAGTAGCAAGAAAGTACAAATTACAATATTAATTTGAGATAATTTTTGACAGCATGAATTTTGTCAAGTCTGGTGTAATTTGAGCTGAACTTATTGTATCAAAATGGTATTTTCAAAAACAACTTCCACTTTGAAATTCAAATGAGTTGGATCACCAGCACTTGCACAATAATTACATGATATTAAAATGTCTATATACTATGATAATGTCTATATACTATGCTGTTACTGTGACACTCTTGTGAAATTAATGTACTGTCATTTTATAAAATTATTCAGTTATAAATGTACAACCAATTATGAATAAAGTTTTCAATTTGATTTACGATTTTTGCATTATTAAATCTTTTGTACTACAAACCTTGCATCGAGAATATGAATATTTGGTGAATGCAGCATAACTAGTATTTTTACACAAGACATTTAATATATAAATTAAAAAAAAAAAGAAAAAGCATTAAATTCCATACACATTAGTGCTCTCTGCATAGCTTAAGCCCATTATGGGGTGGTAGAGTGCACGGAATTTTATTACACAAAAAATTTGCATTTGATATATCAAAGTGCAACACACTTGCAAATTCTGCTTCTATAGTATAATACTACAGTGCTAACATTTTTATTATCCACACTCAAGCAAAATAATTATTAAAAAAATAAAAAGATACAGCATATACTGTACAGGTGATGAGTCACAATAATGTGGCTGAAGTATGTTGACCAGACCACAGACTAGAAAGTGAAGGGACAACGACGTTTTGGTCCGTCCTGGAGCATTCTCAAGTCGATTGTCAATTGACAATCGACTTGAGAATGGTCTAGGACGGACCGAAACGTCGTCGTCCCTTCACTTTCTAACGTGTGGTTTGGTCAACAGCATATACTGTATATACAGTACAATTTTAAAATAAAATTAGAATTAATAAAATTGCAAATACTGTAATATAATTTTAACAATCTTGCTGACATACCAGAGGCTTTACAGCTTCCAGCACAAATGTTTGTACAAGTGAAACACTTGAAAACAACTATATATTTAAAATACTGTATATATCCTTGAATTTTTTAACAATTATGTACAACGATTTATATATAATTTAAATGTGGCAATAAATATGCAAATATGTGTCAAACAGAAGCTCACAAATGTAAATAAACTTTTAGAGTAATATAGAGCCGAGGAGCCAAGATGTACATACAACACCCTGGTGCTACCCCTCAGTAAAGAGATACAAGGTTCACAACCCATGAACTGACTGATTCTACCTACATTTGGTAAAGAACTAGCTCATTTCACTGTTCAATATTCATAATTCTCTCACTCAGAAACAGAGATGACATCTTGGACTCTGATTTGAGTCTCGCACTATTGTTAAACATACACTGGTACTGCGGGATATACTGTATTAGACAGTATGCACTGATACTGCAATATGTCCTGTATTATACAGTATATATTTCTTATTGTACTGTAAATCAAAATGTGTGTGAAATTTATATTGTACAACACTGTACAATACAGGGGAAGCTATGGAAATTTTGGATTTTTTCTTTTTGTACCCCTAAGGTACAAAATCAGTGACCAGTCCAGTCACTGAAATCCTAAATTGGAAAATACAAATTTTGCAATACCAGTTGATAAATTTCCAATGACTAGCTAAATTATAAGTTTCCAAAATCTAGACAATTTTTTTTTATAATAATTGTACAATAGTACTGTAACATAGTAGAACTGTACTAACATCAAAGTTTAAATATTTGTTTGAGCCAATATCCTGAGCAAATAAATTCTCAATAATCTAAGGCACAATATAAAAAAATAATGTTAAAAGACTAATATCTACTGTCATTAAAAGTGGAAAATAAAGACAATTCTTAATTGCACAACATGAGAAAATGATTCTCAAATATATTATGTGGAATGTATGACATTAGGTATACTGTATCTGCATTTACTGTACTGACTAGAAAATACAATATTTTGCTCTATTTGGCATACACATTCTTTTGTCTACAACCCTTACAGAGTACAAAAAATAAAACCTTTAGTTATAAGAATACATGACTGTGTTACACCTCATCAATGACCTCGCCATCCAGCAGGCATTCCTCCTCACTCAAGTCATGTAGCGGCTCCCTGTTTCCACGCATAGTTTTTCTGAAAAAATACTAATCATGCATAAAGAAATCACAAGAACCTGATGAATCAATGTATAAATATGGAAGCAGTCCAATGGGATTGAACCTGCGTCCCCTTGGAACATAGGGATGCGGGTTCCGTTCCTTCATACAACGTAAATGTTTAAATATTAATCATACCTGTAAATTACAGATGGTGCACTAAAGCTAAGGATTCTTTCTACTTCCTACCCAGAAATTTACTTACGCTCACTACACCGACTCTTTTTATTCAACATGCACAAAACAAACCCATCTACCATAACTCAATTTTTCAAAAACCTAGTGTTGAATGTAATGAAACGCCATTTTCTGGGTGAGCCTCGGAGGCTCCCTGGAGCTATCTGACTGATTTACATTATATTAATCTGGGGCAGTCAATTGGAGTGCAGCCTACTGGGGACAATGAACCAGAACCTGGTCCCCTCAGAGGCAAAGGCAGCAATGGCCTATGGGAACCCCCTTGTACTTGGGGACATTCCATGTCTGCCATCGACTGGGGTTAGCACTCAGAAAGGTAGGTATAACAAAACAGACCCCACATGGTAAGAAAAAATTGCAACTGAAGACTGAACAGAGATTCAGAACTCCCCCAACCTAAAGAAACAAGCAAACGTAACACACCGCCGCCTGTCTGCGCAGCCCTCCCCTCCCCAGGAGGGGGGAGCTCCGGACCCTCCCCATGCCGGTTACTCACACCTCCAGTTCATAGGTCGAGCATCAAAACCAGAAGAAAACCACCGACCAGGGGGGAAAAGAGGGTGCTAGGGAGCCTCCGGAGCTCACCCAGAAAATGGTGTTTCATTACATTCAACGCTGGTTTTCTGTGGGGAGCCCCTCCGGCTCCCTGGAGCTACATAACCAAAGTAAAAGAGGAGACTTACCTGGGAGGCGGCCGCCACTCGTTCCTCAACTCGAGACAACTGGCTGTAACCCGTGACCCAAAGACACACATGAACAACAGGAACCTGGAATAATGGTATTTACCAAATAATGAGTGGCCAGGACCCTGTTTGACCTCCAAAACCTTGTGCCAGATTGTCAGCCCACGACATGTTGTCGAACACGGCAGCCAAAGATGCAAACTTATGAACATCATGGGCACAAGGAGAGACCGCAGGCTTGCTAGACTTAACCCTGTGGATGACCTGGAAACCCGAGCCCTGGAAAGAGGAACGCGGGAAACTGGATCAACCTAAGGCACATCCCCCTGCCACAGAAGGCGTGCAAATAACAGCAAAGAACCGCAACCGGACAACACATGATGAACCCCTGGCCTGACCAACCAAGCATCAATGACCCAAGGTCCCCTCTGGAAAGCCACTGTCTCGTTCTTCGCAAGAAAAAAAAGGAGACGGCTGCAACCGAATAAACCGACCACCAGGACTAAAAGAGCAGAAACCCCTTTGCCAGAGGAGACCATGAAGCTCACCAACCCGACTCCCAGAGGCCACTGCTAATAGAAACAGTGCCTTGGAAAAACAATCTTGAGCCAAAGAGGCCATCACAAACCAAGGAGAAGAGAGAAGAGAGAGCATCCCGCTCAAGGGGGTGAATGAGCAGGCTGGAGATGAAACAAGGCGTGAGAATGCTTACAAAATGGGATGTAAGTGACATTCGCCCTGAATATAAGCTGAAGCAGCTCTGCCAGCGCCAGCGCCACACAATAAGAGGCGACAGTATTGGGCATCAAATGAGTCCTGAAAAACTCTAAGAAGAAAAAGGACAAAAAACCCGATCTGAAATAGAAGACAACCTACAAAGAGAAAGAAAATGGTGAAAAGAACACCAGGAAACTTCATACTGTCACCGAGACGAAGCTCGTAGGTGGGACACCACCAACGAAGCCACCTGATCACCATACAAATGGTGATACACCCGCGTCAAAAACACCAGACACGAAGAGCAGAAGAGTAAACCGAGCCAGCCATCTATCGGACCTTTCAGCATGCGGCTAAAAGCAGCTAAAAGAGGCAGAGCCACAAAAAACATCTCGGGTTCGGACACCGAGCAAGCAGCGCCTGAAACCGAGGCCGGACCAGCCACCGAAGGGCCACCAGGATTACTCCCCTGGTATGGTTAGTCTCCAACCGAGCCCAACTCCTCTTTATGAGAAGCTGGCCGACGAGCAGAGTGAACATTGTGCAGACCAGATGATGACGGCTCAGAAACTGGCGCTAATCTCCCACCCCGACTGCAAGAACCCTGAGCACGACCCCCATGGAGAACCAAAAAGTCCGACATAGCCCGACAACTAGATGAGATCGCCTGCAGATACTGCACGACAGCAGCCTCTGAAATCCACAACGGACAAAAATGCACCGAAAACTTAAGAGCCAGGGCCCTGGCTCCGGCTCCGCCTCTTTTAGCTGCTTTTAGCCGCATGGATTCCAAAGAGAAAGAGCAAGCACGGCTTGATGGCACGCGAGGTGAGAAGTAAAGAACAGACACCGCCTCCCTGAGAATTGGCGCAAACAACTTCAATAGCACGACCAATGCCCTAGCCACCAAGGCAAGCGCAGCAGATAAAGACCCGGCACTCATTGATTCTACATCCTCCTAAAGCCAGTCCAAGGACAACTCAAGAAGGGAAAAGAAGCGCCTGACTGAAGTCAAATGCCCGTAAGTGCTCAAGTCCTCAGCGACCAAGGACGCCAAAAGGACAGGAACCTGCAGCTGAACAAGGCGGGAAAACACAGGGGTGAACAAGCATGCATTAAGGTGCTCAAACTCACCCCCTAGGTAAACCTGCAGAACCGTAACCGACTCTCGCCACTCGAGCTTGCGGGTCTGATAAAATCTATGCCATGCTCCCAGCGAAAAGAAAAGGCAATCTGCCAGCCAGAAAAACTCCAGAACTCCGGGTCTCGCAGGAGGTAAGCTGCAAGCACCTCCCGAACGTCCTAAGGCGAAATTCGAGAGGCAGAAAACCTCCAGAAAGAAGGAGCCAAGGAACCCAAGGGAACTCTGAACAAAACCCGGGGAGGAGCAGATCCCAAATTCTACTCAAACAAGGAAGAGGGAGGGGAGGGGGTAAGAAAACCCCTACTCTTTGCAACAACAAACCCCGTGAAGAGGGCACAAAACCCAAGCGGGATCAAAGAGGGCCCAAGCCCCCCAGGCCAGCTCATCCCCAGCACCAGGAACCTCCAAACCAGGCCCCGGGGCAGAGCCGTCCTCCAAATCTCTATCCCTGAAGAAAAGGCAGGGTCCAGGGGAAAGGCAGAGAAGAAGGGGGGTCCACTGGTAAGACTCAGAAGCCTCGGCAGGAGGAGCAGGCTCAAATGCCTCTGTCCCTGACCTGAATGGGGCAGCCCCAGAAGCCCCCCCCCCCCAAGTCTCATTAACTAAACCCCGCCCCGATTCCTAAACCCTCAGACATTTAGGAGCCGGGATCAGGCAGGTGGTTGAACAGGGTGAACAACAACAACCGGGGAAGGACTTGGAAGCACGGATGGAACCAAAGTCAAAGCGACTAATGTCCCCCAAGTTTGGGTCCCTATAACCAAAACAGGACAACCTCAGGGCATCCGGGTGGGCAACCAATGAGCAACTTAAACCTAGTATGCAATGCTGATGCTGCCTGTACTCAAACCCCAGTGTCAAGAGAATGGGTAAATTGGAGTACGAGCAGAGAACACGACTCGCAAGAGTCCGGGTCAGAGGCATTGTTGACCCAGCATGCAGCACGACTCAGGCAAAACAGGTGACTGTCACCCTGAGATAACTGAGCAACCTTCAAACTCGCACAAGGCGAGATGGAACTCAGAAGATGCATCCATTGGTCAACTGAACTCCAATGGGGTTTTCCAGGGCCCGCAGACTGTCTGCTACGGGAAGCCCAGGGATGATACTGCAAAGCGGTTAAGCCCAAACTAACAAGGGAGAACTGCTAAAAACTGAACCCCTGCGACATGTACAATCACAGGGGCCTAGAGGAGGGCCACCAAAATACCTGTAGTGGACCAATAGCCAAACAAGGCAGACTCCATCAAAACAAGGAAAACAAAATTAAAAGAAAAACTCCGCAACAGTACAACGTACCCAGAAGGAACTGGCTGCTGCATAGGTAGGCAAGTTGCGCAGTGCCTTGTGCAGGTTCACCTCAGCAATAAAGTTGCGGAGGTTAAATAGATACCAGTAACAATGCCACTTCCTACCCAAGACCACGAAAACCCCAGCTGAGCTGACCCCAAGGGCGGGGTAAATACCGAGCAGCAAAGACCCCCACTGAAGTGGTTTCCGAAATTTCTATGGAGGGTAACCCTAGAACCCAAGGGTAGTACTTACAGGGCACTTAGGGAAGGTAGCCCTAAACACATGCAACCCAGTACACTTAAATTTCTCCTAGCCACTGCACCACAATCAGCAGGACACACCACTAAGGTACAAATACTGTCAAGAATTTGAGGCCAGAATCGACGACCGCCCCAGATCGCATCAGCCAACAAACTGGAGGTGTGAACCTTACCATGTGGGGTCTTTTTTGTTATGCCTACCTTTCTGGATACTAACCCCGGTCATTGGCAGACTTGGAATCTTCCATGTACAAGAGGGTTTCCATAGGCCATTGCTTCCTTTGCCTCTCTGAGGGGGCCAGGTTCTGGCTCGTGGTCTCTAGTAGGCTGAACCCCAATTGACTGATGCCCCAGACTATTATAACTTATATCAGTCAGATAGTTCCAGGAAACCAGAGGGGCTCCCCCATATAAACACCAATTTACCAGAATTGTTTTCATTCAATATGCCCAAAACCAACTCGGTATAATCTTCCAAAGCTCACTGTTTATCCCTCGTGTCTTCTTGAATAATACATCGCATTTTGACGTTAAAATGCCCAATAAACCAAATATGATGTACTATAAATCATAGTGGCTCACAAACAACTCGTTTTCTATGCATGGGTCAACTGGTTAGGTTCGATTCAGATAATTTAGTACATTATTTCTTCAACATGACAACTCTAGAGGACAGGGGTGATTTATCGCCTTTTGCACTTTACATCTCAATGACATTTTACATCCTTGCAATACTGTACAGGTATACAATGGAACCTCGGAACTCAAGCATAATTTGTTCCAGAAGGCCATTCGAGTGCCGATCTATTTGAGTACAGTACTGTACTGAATATTTTGTTTTCCTATAAGAGATACAGTAATGTAAATTGGGTTAATCCATTCCAGACTACAAAAAATACACATATACAATATAGACAATAAATAGATGAAATAAATGCAAATTTATTCTCACTTTATCTGTACTTAGGAGCATTGATGACGTATATGGCAGTGTATTTGTTTGAACTGGCAGCCTCCCCATTTCTCACCACACTATTACTGCCACTTCTCTTATATTGTATTACTAAAATCACCCATAACTAGCTTTGAAGACTTCGCTATCAGCTCCTTTGATGGCCTCTTTATTTTTTTAGTATTGTAGAGATATTAGATTTAGGGATACCAAATATGGAGCAAGAATAGACAGGCAGAAACCACTTTCCTATTTTGCTACGAGTTCTTTTTTCATCTCTTATCGTGGTCTAACTAATGTTCTTTTCATTTGAATCTTATCACTAACCTTCTTAGATGCCATGGTGATTTACCGAGTATTTATGCTAAGAATCTAAAAAAATATCCAAGAAAACACAAGAAAGTTTACAGAGAAGTTTAGTAGGTTCGTGCACTGACTAACAGTTAGTAGAAACTGACTTGTTATGAGTGCATATTATAGTGCCAAGCAAATGGTCAACTATAAAGTGATTTTTTATCGAATAAAGTGATCGAGTGCCGTATTGTTAGATTCGCAGCTGTTCGAGTGCCGAGGTATCAGTGTATTCTCCAAACACCACATTTTTAAGATTATCCATTTCCACCGAGTGAAGTTTTGATTCTCCCATTCACACACCAGTTATCCCACACAAGTAAATAAGTGTCAGAAAAAAGGTGTCAGAACTACCACTCTTTTGAACAGGCCTGTGGCAGCACCTCTTCCTGTCGTGTTATTCCTAGCCACAGCTTTCACTGCTTATAATTACTTTTACTCGTGTATCAGAGTATAGTATACTACTATACTATGATACATGAGTAACACAAACTAGAAAATTGAAAGAAATAGAAGAGACAGACACAAAACAATTCATCCTAAGAGTTACAATTAGCTGATGTGGTTCACCAACTACCATTTTGGTTTGTGTGTTACTCAAAGAAACACAATCATTTGTGGGAGAAATTAACCCTCTTTATCAAAGGGATGGGAGTGTTTACATGAATCATGGAGGCCAACAAATCTACTACAAATACAGATTTAATTTACCTGAAGACCACCATCTCTCTAGTGGCTTTGATGGGGACAGGAAGCCTGTAGCTTGTCAAAGGTCTCCTCATTGATCCTGAATATATACTGTCATATACTCTTCAGGCATGAAAGATACCTATAGTATAATATGAATAAGCAACAGTGCAATTCTTAAAGATATAACTTATTAAAAGAAAGCTAATATTGTACCACTCTTACAAATACACAACAAACATTTTCCCATTTCACATAGGCCAACTACTGACCTTTCCCAGGATGCAACCCACAATAGTTATCTAACTCCCATTCACTTATTTATTGTTAGATGAACAGCCATCAGGCAAAAGAAAATGATGCCCAAATGCTTCTGTCCTGTCACAGCAATTGAACCCATGACCTTTTGACTCTGATCTGGTAGTACTGGTCATTACTCCATAGGATCCCCCATTATGCTTACATGTTATTGGTTCTTTTATCCATGCAATATACATCAACAAACTCCTTTTACTTGTCACCAACAGCTCTTGCTCATCCCACCAAGCACTTGACTCATTCTACTACCATCAACATTCTCTTGCTTCAAGGAACAAACTCATTTTACTCTGATTTCAATTAATTTGTTCTTAACATCTACATTTTTCGTCTTCTTTGATATTTTGAGACAGTTCATCTATTTACCATTTAGACTTATCCTGCTCAGCCCACTCATGTGATCAGACAACTCTTGATATTCTTCTTACTGCTTTGCATCACTTAACACATTTTAAAGATAATTCCTTCCACAAGTTTTTAGTAAATTGGGCTCTTTTCTACTCTACCATTCACATAGAACTATGCACTGCATATTTGTGTGTATCATTATGCTTAATACAGTACAGTAATGTATTAAGCCATTGTCATTTATTCAATGGATACCAGACATACCTACTCCATGATTCTTGGGGTTCATTATAGTTCCATTTAAATGAGACATCCAAAACATTCTGTAACTTAGAGAAAATTATCACTCTCACTTATTTTCCCCCAGAAATCTAACATTTTCATTTGTATGATTGGGAAAATAAGCACTAACAACTGCCATCGTCTTCAAAAATATTAAATTCTTGCATAGGCACTTAAAACTCAGCCATAAGAAGCCTTTCAGTGTCACCACACTACTCTCTTAATACATTAATGGACATACCTGTACTCCTTCCTTTTAATTCTCATTTTCTCTTCCTCTTTTTATAACCCTTGTTCCAATCTGCTTTTTCAATTTTCAGCCCTTTCAGCCCAAGTTACATTAACTTGGCACATTTAATGTATCTTCTTTAATACATTGTGCCACTTCTAGCTGCTTCAGTTTCTAATTTACTCCTATCATATAATACATTCAAATGTATATGTGAGACAAATTATGCAACACAAAACATTTTCTGAAAGCTTTATTACAGAATAAAAGAGAAAAAGGAATCCTGTACTCGAGAAAGTGTGAAAAGCTTAACATTTAGCTCACCTGTGAACATATCCATTGATGAGTGCCTCCGCAGAAACTGGCCTACGTTTGTCCTTCCGAGTCAGCACACATGCCAAGACTCCAATGAATCCCAGCAATGTTATCAAGGTACCTTTTAGAAGAAAAAATGCTAAATATCTCCCATAATAAAAACAAACCTTAATTTCTTAAAAGTAATCTAAATGTATAATTAGCCAAGTGTAGTTCCAGGATAAGAGCTGCACCCCAGGTATTCCCTCTTCCCTATAATCCTTGTCAAATGATATTTTTAAGCTTAATGTTATTTTGAAATACTCATTTGGTCTCTTTTCATCTGTCTACCACTCTGTTCATAAAAGAATTTGAAAATGTGTCTGTCGCTTTTTTTCATAGCTTGAATCAATTGATTTTTATTTTTTCCCTTCAATGTTCCAGATTTAAATTATTACTTGTCAATTTGATTTAGTCCCATTACAATTTCGTATGTGATGACCATATCACATTTTGTTCTGTCTACTAATTTTTGAAGTATTTCAAGCCTATAGTATTTCATCATAACTCTGGTGTTTTAGGTCTGGGAGCCATTTAGTAGCATATCTTGACACTTTCTATGACACCGATATAATTTTTTATATAACGGCACCATACAACTCCTGCATATTATAATTTAGGTCTCTTATTGGGGTCCCGGTAGTACAGTTGGGTTCGTTCTTGACACACAATCGAGAATTCTGGACTCAAATTCCGGGCAGGGCAGAAATGATTGGGCACATTTCCTTTTACCTAATGCTCCTGTTCACCTAGCACTAAGCAGGTACCTCGACACAATTATTATTATATAATAACGCACATAGCACTTCCTCTACTGTACACATTGTAGTTTTTTTTTATTATTAAAAATGTTCTTGGAACAAGTAACATTATAACAAATTACTGCAGAACCATATCGCACAGCTGTAAATGAGGCATGGTTGAACTTTGTTGTATAATTGTTTTAGATAGTACAGAATGTAATAAGTATAAAATTTACATGAAATACAGCCAATAATATTGATTAAATATATTAAAATTAACATTCCTGTATATGCAAACCGCCTTGTCATGTGAACTGTCCAATTGTGCGAACTACCCCACAAAGCAAACCATCCAACAGTGCAAACAACCCTGCCTTGTAAACCATCCAACTAGGCAAGCAACCATGCCATGTAAACCATTTGACTAGGCAAATAACCCTGCCATGTGAACCACTTGATGGTGCGAACCCCCATGCCATGTGGACCATCCAATTGCAAATCCCCTCACCATTTGAACCATCTGCATTTAAACCATACACTCTCCCTTTAATGCCCACACACACTCAAACTGTATTAAGCAAACTAATCCTAGCTATATTTCATTAAAAACCTAAGAAAATTTTAAGAAATTCCAAATTTATAATAGAAAACATTAAAGAATCCTCAGTACCAGGTTGAAAACTCATGCAACCTCACCCTCCATTGCAACACTATTTCTCATACTAGACACTTCTTTGATATTGATTGGGCATTACTACATTACTTTGGCGTTGACATTACTGGGCACTGATTATTTTGTCAGTGTCTTTTGTTAATCTTTTTATGTTTTGTCAAAAGTTTTGTCAAACTTTTGTCAATCAGTTTAGCCATTCTTTCTATGTTAAGATAACACTTCTTTCCTTTCCAGCTTTAGTTGGACTATTCCTGCTGGAGCAAACAATTCACAAATTATGAAATAAAGCAACGGAAAACAAAATCACTGAATACCGTGAGGTCTCGAGACAATACTACAGTGGGAAGAGTACCGGGTCAGGACACCACAGTTACAGCCACTACAGACAAAAATAATTTGACATTGGAAAAACAACCAAGCAATAACTAACTACCAGTTCTTGGAAACTACCAGTGCATTATCCAGGTCACCATTTCCAGCACCAATCAAACTGGGTACCCTGACTCAACCTTAGGTAGATATCACCTAAGTAAACAAATTGAGCCCCAAGGAAGATAGGGGATGGGATGGGGCAATGGAAGAAATGTAACATCCTGCTCAGAAAGGAGATTTTTACATACAGTATCTGGTAATTGTACCAGTACTGCACTGTACTGTACTGTGCATCCTCAACAGACTGATTTGTTCTAAAATGAAACCCTCAATGGTGCAGAAAGAAGCAACTCAAAATAAAAAGGGGTCAAATATTTTTTAGTATGGCTATTTGGCTAAGATAATAAATGTTATGTGTTCAAAGGGCCTGAAGTATTTTATCATAATGCCTAAATATTCATTCATAAAGTCCTTATGTTCTTGTGATTTCCACTGTGCATTCATAATATAGTGACGAGTCACGCCAAAGCAGAATTAAGCTAATTAACTAGTGAGTAAATGTGTTACAAGCTTGGATTATTTTTTGTTTACTTGTGATAGGCAGGATATCTACCAGTGTTCAGTGTTGAATATCCAGAACTTTGAGATTGTGCACGCCTACTAATAAACGAAGAGCAATAAATTATATAATTCTGTGCTAGCGTATTTACTACCACATATTTCGTAATTTAATGGAGTTGGTAACAGATCAGCATCTTAAAGTTATGTTCTATTCTCCGATTTTCTTGTGGGATGGTAATGTTTTCACAAATTACTGTATTCTGTAATCATCTAATACAGTTTGAGGTCACACATTTAAACTTTCCTGAACATATTTTTTCCATTATATTCCCAGTGTTAGGGACAGGGTGCCTATACTTAGGCTTATTGAGGTCCCCTCCCAGGATTTAAGCCAACTACCGACCTTCCCCAGGATGTAACCCACAACAGATGCCTAACTCCCAGGTACCTACCAAGTACCAGTATTTATTGCTAGGTGAAGAGATGCATCAGGTGAAATGAAATGTGCCTAATTGCTTCCTTCCTGCTCATCTTTTGTCTTTTCTTTCCTGTATCATCTTCCCTAGACCCTCTAATTCAAAATATTTTGTCATACAAACAATCCACAGGGACAGAAGAGCAGTCAATTTAAATTGTCCTTGGACCAACCTGTTTTGTTAGATGGTCATACTTCCTCCCTCTGTAAGGATTTACATTGCACTAGAAGAAATAACATTGTACTATATGACCACTATATGCATGCATGCATAGTGGGTTACACACACTACTGTAATATATTGAACATTTGCCAAAGGGATGAAATATAATTCAAAAGATTAATTCATGAACATGAGAAATTAATGCATGCACACACCATACTGTACTTAGATAAAAACAATATGGCATTCAGTGCATGGCATGCATGTAGCTGTGCAGTTAGGGACACAAAATTCTAAAATCAAAATTGGTGTCTGTATCTATACATGTATGAATTTGTTTTTATTGGCTATGGATTAAAATACATTTCTCAAGCTGTAACTGCCAAAACTATAAGGTAGAAGAAAGAGAGGAGATATGATCATTTACAAAATACTAACAGGAGCCGACCAAATTGACAAAGGAATTCCTGAAACCAGCAACTTTACAAACAAGAGGACACAGATTCAAGCCAAGGAAACAAAAGTCCCCAAAAAATATTAGAAAGTTTACTTTTGCAAACAGTGGTACGGTAATTGGTTGGAACAAGCTAAGTGAGGTGGTGGTGGAGGCCAAAACCGTCAGTAGCTTCAAAATGTTATATAACAAAGAGTACTGGGAAGACGGGATACAATGAGTGTAGCTCTCATCCTGTAACTACACTTGGGTAATTACATCTGCAGGATATGCAACAACACTATCAGGAACACAACGAAAATCACAACAACATGACATATCCAAGAAAATATTAAGGCTAAATGAAAGGACGTGGGTTCGATCCCATCGTATGTCCTCAATATTTTCCTGAATACTACATTATCAAAAACATTACCCTTTTATAATAAGAACAGTTGAACAAGATCAAGATACTCAAAATGACACCAATTCATTCACGATCCCTTCCAAATTCACTATGCTATCCAGATTCATGATATCTTCCTGGAAGATATCATGATTCACGAAGATTTACGAAGTAGTTGCGCAAGTACTTACGAACATGTACATCTTTCCTCAGTCTTTGACGGCTGTGGTTACATTTATTAAATAGTTTACAAGCATGAAAACTTCCCAATCAACTGTTGTTATTGTTATAAACAGCCTCCTGGTGCTTCGGAGCTCATTAACTGTTTAGTAATTGTAAACAAAGCCGCCAAAGATTGAGAAAAGATTTACAGGTTCGTAAGTGCTTGCGTAACTGTTTCGTGAATCTGGCCCTAGATTCAAAAGCCTCCACAGCCAGGCAATTACAAACTAGTAAAATGTTCACAGTAGCATAGTGCTGCTTCATAAGTCTTTGTGTTATGATTTAGGGTCTTAATCATGTGCTGGAACCTATAATAAAGTGCTCCTTGTGAGATGTCATGTACAACCATATCAAACATCCATTCCTTAATTAAAAAGATGCTTCCACCTAGTTTTATGTACTAACACCTCTCGTGCTTGGTTTAGATTCTGTCCCTATCTTCTTACATGCATGAGACACTTACTGTATCTGCCCATTTCCTCAACCTTCCTCTTCTAAACCAATTCAGAATTTTTATTCAAAGGACATACATAGAAGAAATGCAAAGAGTATTAATGCATAGTAATAAATAAAAGTTGTTGTATCACCTACCATTGCATGAAGAATTGAACCATCAAGAAAATAGAGAAAACTCTTCACCTTGAACACGGTTTGGTCATGTCTACTAGACAAACAGTACAGTACTAAAATTGTCCTGCCTGGCTGTACAAAAGTTTGGTCATATCTCATGGAGGATACTTAGGGAATGTCTAAATGCTAAATTGGGAATAGTCTAAATAATTTGGGGTTCATTCTCATATGTTTTTATTTGCATATACCACTAAGAGAATATATAATTAACATACAACTTCAGCCAGTTTATAACAAGAATTTCATGAACAAGCCCTTTGAAACTACACACCATCCTATACCACACTTCATTCATAAAATTGCACATGCCTTCCTACTGTGCAGCACTCCTCCTTTCACAATTTTGTTCCAGCCTCTTATAACTCTCACTCTGTCCTACTCATCATTGTCATCTGCTAACATATACAACTTTCCCTCCCTAATGCCACAATTTCTAGCTTCTTTTGCTTCTACTTTATTTCAAGGCCAATTAAGCTCTTCATTGGGAGAAACTGGAAAGAGGGTATCCAAGTCAATACCATACCTCCCTTCCTATCCTTTTGATTAGTGACAACGAAAGGATTATTGCAGCACATGGTGGTGGTATTTCTATGTACCTATGCCAGTAAACAGAATACTGTACTTGTCAATAACACAGACACAAAAGAGTACTGTACATACATTTATTGGGGGAATTTTTTTTTTTTTTTAAACAAAAGTGAACACGCATTATTCCACTAAAGTAAATACAGTATGTTTAATAATGTACACTAACACTGAAGGATTTAGTGAATCGTTAACATTAGTTGCAAGGCTAACGCTGGCTGCAAGGCTAACACCAAACTCAAAATTAGTATAAAAACAACAGCAGGTAACATAAGTCCTGATTATGCTTGTGCTTTACCCCTGCCTGAGAACATGCTATCACACTAACACATTTGTAAGTGGTGAAAAATATGGACTAATATATAATACCTGATTACAGTGAAGCACCATGTAGAATATTGGCGATATTCCTGATCACAGAAAAAAAATATGTGTTGAAATAAACACATGAATAACAAAAAAAATATAAAAAAATTGTAGTTAATATATAAATCTGACAAGTAAATTTCATAGTGAATAATACAATGTGAACTATATTTAAATTCATCAATTTAGAGTTCGCAGTGAATAACAACGAGGCACTACAAAAATACGATATAAAAATCCATTCACTTTTATTGTCTCAAAGTGGGTTCCTGTCAGGGACAATAAGCCTGTTAGGGTTAGTGAGGTCCCTACAGGCCAACTACTGACCTCCCCAGGATGCAACCCACAACAGTTGCCTACTTACTAGTTGCCTATCTCCTAGGTGCCTATTTACTTCTAGGTGAACAGAGGCAAAAGGTTTATGGAAATGTGCAGAATAGCTCATCCTCCTTGGTTAATACACAGTGCATGGCTAGTCAGTCGAGTTCACAAGGAAAAAAACTATTGAGGAAAATCCTTGATTAACACTACATGACCCACCCACTTTGCCTCCCTTAATCACATTTCAGTTCCATAGATATTGTAATGGAAAAAGAAAAAATTAAATTTCACGGATAATATACAGTGCAACCTTGATTCGGCAAACTACATTGGACCAACCCTGATTAGTTGGCATGAGGGATTTATTGCAAACAGATGCTTTCAGGAGGCACTTAAGAAATGATTTTTTTTGTTTAAAGTCAAGAAAAATACATTGTTTCATCTGTCTGTCTCTTCTGATGTTGTGTCCTTCTATGCAACTCATTAAATATGTACATGGAGCCATATTAAAAGTTACCATTCATACCTTAATATTTATCCACACACTATGGGGTAATTTCACTTAGCAAAATTTTTATTTTAACCAGTCATATGATGGACAACTACCATAAGAATTTGTTTGTAAAGAGATTTCACAACAGCTAACATATTTCCCATGCCCCAGCCTAAAATCCTCATTTTCAAAACAAGAGCAATCCATATTTAAGTGAACAAAATCCATGGCAACTCAAATGAAAACAAACCACAGAATTTGGTTTTAGATATGCTCAATGGCTTTCCCAAGGCCCCAAATCTGTCTTCTAATGTTGTGCCTATCAATGAAAATCATTAAAATTATGATTGCAGCCATGTTACCATTCATTACCATTCATTACCATGAGTGTGTTACCATTCATTAATTATTTCCCATGTTTTATGGGCTAATTTCACTGAGCTAAATTTTAATTTAAATCTATCAATTGATGGACAACTTTCCAACAGGTCTGTGAACTCGGACCCAACTTCCAAAGCAAATCTGAACATCCCCCACTTTGTCAAGTCTCCAAACATTAATTTGGTGGAGCAGGTAAGTAAATCTGGCCTGGAAAGTGTGCATTACAACAAGAGATTTGCCAAAACGAGGTTCACCAAATCGAAATTGCACTGCCAATGTAAAATTTGATATTTAGTGCATTAGGACTGAGGAAAGTATTGCTGGTCCCATATTCTATTACAAAATATTCTTACAAATATAAATTATTCTCTCGCCCTCCCTTCAGTCTACATGCAGTATATACAATACCTGTATGTATATACACATATACATTTTGTATCAGTGAACGCTCAATTTGGTCTTTTATATAATAGCTGGCTGGTACTCTCAGCGGTGTATCAAGTTAGACTTGCCACTAACTTCCATTATTATGCGAGAGGACCACTTGCAAAGATCTCCATTATAATGACAAAAAAAGTAACAAGATCCTAGCAGGTGATACGAGACCTATGTGACACACAGCAGCTGGTTATGAGAGCATCCGAGGGTTATGCTTAAAAGGTGTTTCAAGTACGCCAAATTTTCTAATACTAGTATGTATGGAGGTGGTGGTGGGAACACTAAATGCTTACTTTTCTTTTCCATGACTTTCTTGCCTTCTTTCAAAGATTACCGTGAACTGACAAGCCTTGTAATGTGTTGCATGAAGATCTGTGAACTTGAAAGCAATTGAAAGAAATGGGTATTCAAACTTGCAATACTCTGGTGTAATATGCACATGAAAATTCAGCATAGTACAATTAAATAAAATTCAATATGCTGAAGTTTATTGCACAAATCTAGGGAAATACAAGTGTCTCTTGATTAAGCAATGTGTCCTCAACAGCCTCAAAGGCAGGAGCATATATAGGTAATTGATATGCTTATTAATCTTATACCTTTACTATCTATATTTGGTGATCTGAATTATATGGGGCCTATGCTCATTTGAGCTAGCAGAACACTTGAGTTAGCAGAATTCCTTACCAGGAATGTCCAAAAACTAACAAATTTGCAATTTTTTGTACCAAAACTTTGTTACTCCTGCCATTTACCCATATGCTCGCCATCTATCCGGTTACTTCTACCATTTACTAGTGAACAATAAAATGCAAATTAATTCGAGTTAATGGAATTTGGATTACCGAACTCTTACAGTATGATTAAAGTATCCTTCTCGAAGATCATACACATGTAGGCACAAAACAGCACAGACACACACATATATATATATATAAAAATAAATAAATAATTAAACACACAACTAAATTAAAATGATGACATTTTGGTCCATCCTGGACCTTTATTAAGTTATGATATAGCAAGAGTCATGGTTTGATACGGGCCCAGGATGGAATGAAACATCATCACTTATTTCATTTGTATGAGGCAGATTATTTGTTTCAGTCATGTTATTATGACTTATTCTCTAAACATATATAGATAATTCCCAATAGGAAGCTAACACTGATACAAATAAAACTTTCTGGTATACCTATTAACTTGTAGATGGCTAACAAATCATTAATACTTATTATTAATTCATACCTAGTGTAATTAAGAGTGGACGAATGAGTGTTGATGACATTGGTTGAATCAGAACAGCCGAGATGTTTTCAATGGTGCCATTATTCGGTCCAGGAGTGAGGTCAAGCAGATAACACAATAGCACATATACATCTATATTGCTAAAATCTGGAGTTTGAAATCCTTTCTTGAATGATGGCCCTGCTGCTACAAATATTGGCTCCATGCTAGGTATGTCAATTGGATAACCATGATCCCCATGTGTATCTGTCACTGTCAGATAATAAAAAGAACATAATGTGAGAAAAGAGAAGAGAAAAAAAAACTATTGGCACATGTAAGGCAGTTTCTATTTATACCCAACCAAACACTCATACACGCCTAACATATGCTTGAAACATGCCACTGATCTTACTTCTTATTGTGTTAGCCAATACTGTATAATCAATTTTTCTCAAAGTTAAATGGTGAAATGACTTAAAAATCTTCAAAAGATAGGTAACATACATTAAATATTTTTTTGCCCTGCTTACTTCTTAACACAATTCAAATGGTTGAGGTCATGAAAAACCCAATTCTGATTATTTCCTTCTGCAAGATCCCTGAGGTATATCAATTCATTGCATATTAATCAGATCAACTAACAATAGGACAAAAACCCAGCATTGAATGTAATGAAACGCCATTTTCTGGGCGAGTCCCAGAGGCTCCCTGGAGCTATCTGATTGATATATAAGCTATATTAGTCTGGGGCATCAGTCAATTAAGAGTTCTGCCTACCGGGAACCACGAGCCAGAACCTGGCCCCTTAGAGAGGCACTGGAAGCAATGGCCTATGGAACCCCCCTCCCTCACGTGTTTGGGATCATTCCATCGACCAGGGTTAGACACCCAGAAAGGTTGGCATAACAAAACAAACCCTATCTGGTAAGAAATTGCAACTCCCAAAAAACTTAAGGAAACAAGCAAACGTCATTCACTGCCGCCATGCCACTTGTCCGTGCAGCCCTCCCTTCCTGGGAGGGGAATGGAGAAGCCCCGGACAGCCCCTGCCAGCTACTCTCACCTCCAGTTCAGAGGCTGAGCATCAAAAACAAAAACGCAAACTGCCGACTGAAGGTAGGGAGGGAGAGTGCCAGTAAGCCTCTGGGGCTCATCCAGAAAATGGCATTTCATTACATTCAATGCTGGTTTTCTGTGGGGAGCCCCTCCGGCTCCCTGAAGCTACCTAACCAAAGACAAGTAAGAGAGACTTACTCGGGAGGTGGCCGCCACGTGCACATCAACTAAGTCGAAACAACTGGCTGCAACCTGTGACCCAAAGCCACACACGAACGACCAGGCCCAGGCATATTGACCATATAATGGTCAACAGCAGCCAGGAGCTTGTTCGACCTTCAAAACCCCCGCACCCGAATGTTAGCTCAAAAAATGTTGCAGAACATGGCAGCCAAAACAGCAAATCTGTGAACATCATCGCACGAGAGTAGACTGCAGGCTGGTTAGACATAATAACCCTGCTGATGACCTGGGAGACCCAAGCCCTGGAACAGGGAACAAGGTGTAATCGGATCAACCCATAGCACGTTCCTGGCCACAGAAGCCGAGGTGCGTAGATAACGGCGAAGAGCTGCAACCGGAGACAACACGTGTCCAGTTGCACCCCTGGCAACCCCTGGCCTGATCAACCAAGCATCAATGACCTAAGGGCCCTTCCAGATGCCTGTTCTCATTCTTCGCCAAAAAAAGAAGGAAATGGATGCAAACTAACAAACTGACCACCAGAACCGAAAGAGCAGAAACCCATGCGAAAGAGGAGAGCATGAAGCTTGCCAACTTAACCCCCAGAGGCAAATACCAACAGAAACAGAGCCTTGGAAAAACAATCTTGAACCAAAGGGGCCACCACAAACCATGGAGAAGAGAGAAAAAGAAAGCACCCATTCCAATGACCAGGACAGCTCAGGTGGCACATGACCAGGCTGGAAGAGGTACATGTAGCCCCACCTCAATCAGTCCTGCCAAAAGGCAGCCACTGCGACGGCTATGCGGTCGGAAAAGGGCGCCACATATACAGCATCAAGAGATGCCGAGACCATGCCGAAGTGAAGAGGTCCACCTCCGGGAGCCCGTATGTCCGGCAGAGTCAACAGAACGAGTCGGTGTCGACCGTCCATTCTATGGGCAGGGGAATGAACAGAGACAGGCCATCCGCCAGGATGTTTGACACTCCCCGGATATGAACCGCATGGACAACCAAACCCCGAGAATCCAGCAGACAAGTCATTCAAAGTGACCAGCCCCAAAGGGCCAAGGACCGAAGAGAACCCCAGCGGTTCAGACAATGAACCACCAGTTCACCGGTTCAATGAACCACCGGTTATAGTTCGGATAATCGAGTGTAGACAGTACTGTAATTACATGGGGCAGGCCGCCACTTCACTTTCATCCAAGAAACTCAAGCTTCCTCAATTTTATTTCAGTGATTCATTGCAGTTTGCATCACTCAGTGTGGATCTTCTCAGAAAACTTTAATTTGAGAACAAACTGCTGATCATTACAGGGATTACACTTATTAGTGTCTGAAAACATCCTTTGGAAAAAGGTGCTTACCCCAATAACCTAATTAACCATGATATTTTCAAATATTACAACGCAAACAATATGTACTTGAGTAATTGCTATATTACGATTTACATTAATACGTTTTATAATTCTGGTAAGGTAAATTACTTTGCTTCATGTAAAAATTTTCAATGAACATAATGACTTTGTCCTTATTTAATGATCCTATATATTCCATTAATATTATAAAGTTTGACATTTATAAGTTAAATCATATATCCTACAATGAAACTCTTCCTTATTCACATGGCAAAACTAAACATCTTGGGAAATGACAATATACGTACAATGAGAAATATATACAGTACTCACAGTCACTGACTCCTTTGTTTCTTATACTATCAATATAGTCCTTAAAATCTTTAAAGACATAGCCATCGTCAGCTAGTACGGTGATCCGGCTTATACGAGTATTATTACTGTAATGCCAAGACACCAGTTGAGGATCATCATTTAGGTATACAGTGTAGTTGTGTTTTTTACTTCCCTCCTGTAAACTGCGATAGACCTTCAAGTCTTGGTCTGCAAAATAAATAAGATTTATAAACTACATTCCAAGAACATCCAAATAAATTACAGTGGATATTTGTTGGTGTGAAAAAAAGGTTAGGTCAATGAAGCATTGAGTGTGTGTTCTGCAGTCATCTGTAGGAGAAAATTTTCAGGCAACCTGCACAAATCATAAAAGAAGAATGTTATAATTTAAATTGATGAAATATTAATTTAGCAAGAAAAAAAGAAACAGTAATGTTGAGCTTTTCTTCAGAATAAAAGCAAAGTCAACATTGCAATCTATCTTGCTAAATAAAAATTTCATAAATATAAATTGCAATACATAAGCTATGCCTTAACCTTGCTGCCTCAACCCACCTTCACAGCCACTTGCCCCCTCTCTATTCTCCATATTTTCCCTCTTATTGAATAAGCACGATCCTTGTGTATCTGAGTTAGAATTCATAAAACACTAGGACAAAATGACTACTACAAATGAAGTGAAGTCTACTCTTATCACGGCAATTCTCAATATCAAAATTAAGGTACTGTAATTACAGTACTGTACTTACCAAATTCAGGCCAAATATTTAAAATAGGTGAGGTTCCAGATGTGGTGTATAGCTTAGGGTCAACTATATCATCCAGTAAAATTATATTATCATCTTTAACAGCACTCATCCCATGATCACTCATGACGATCACATCCACGGTGTCACTCAATTTATAGAGTCGGAGCAAATGGTACATATGTCCTATACCTTCATCAATCTGTGGAATGCAGTTAATATTATGTAATAAAATTACAAATTATGCAAAAATTGGGTGCAATATAACCCCAAATACACTTAAATGCTGTTGCTTGATTCTCGATCTTATAGGTGTATACAGTATTGGAAAATCTTCCAGTGAAGCAAGGCTCAAATAGCTTAAAGAACATTATAGAATAATATGTGGGAAAAAATGTGATCTTGTTCAATATTACGAACTCATCTCCCATTAAGATTTCAACTAAGATTCAACAGAGCAGAAGAAGTTGTTAAACACATGGGACAAAATCTTAATGAAGTGGCCATACGAGTCATAAGTACTGTACTCATACTCCGCCCAAGTAAAACAGAAACAAGCAACACTTAGTGGGCCAGCCAGAGGCTTAGGGCCCATGCAGGAATATCCCTGAAAAAAAAAAAAAATATCATGGATGGTATCTCTAATGTTGTCATATACCTGTACTGTAAATGCATATATTAGTTTTAATCTTACCTAAAATAAGTTTCCATGTGATAAGTTTCTTATCTTACCATGTGATAAGTTTCCTTAATAAATACAACTGCAGTTTATACCTGCAGTGAGATCATCTATTCCCCATGCCTAGCACGAGACTGGGCTTGTCTTGTAATAACTTGGTCCAAATGGTTGTAACGTACGTTTATGTGTATGTATTTGATCGATTAGACATACACAAGAGTTTAGTGTTTTTTATATTTACTGTATTTAGTACTCTTGGTTACATCAGTCAGTTTGTTGGCAGTGAAGTGTTGTAGAAGTTGAGACCAAGCATGGAGCAGGGCCGAGTGAGGCTGGGGGTAGAGAGTTCTGATGTGGGGCGAGTGTGTAGAGCATGGTGCTCTGAACACGTGGGCGAAGTCGAGGAGCTCGAGTGCAGGATGAGAGCATGGAAGCTCAATGCAGCTGAAGTGTGGCTGTCTGCTCTGTGTCTTGCGAGGGTAGGAACTAGACACAGAGTGTTACATTGTTGTTGGTGGATGTTGAAAGATGTGTGGTATCTCTCAAGCATCTGTATTGAACCACTCTTGGAGTTAGACGGATGATGATTGATTAATTGATTGATGAAGATTAAGCCACCCAAGAGGTGGCACGGCCATGAATAGACCGTAATAATGATGATTCGTCCTTAACTGCTTATATAATCGGTCCACACCTCATTTGACCATCCTCTAGCAGGTTTGGGAAGAGGTATTAACAGTACATTTGGGAAGAGGTATTAATTGTAATTAGTGGACTGAGTAGAATTAACAGACCCATCTCATTATCTGCACATAAGCTAATGAGAATATGGAGCAAGTATATTACTTGTACTGACATAATATACTTGTTACAAGGCTGTTGCTTAGAGTAGCTCACAGGGCCCCCATATCAACTATAACCATGTGGGTCAGGCACTTCTTGCAGGAACTTGACTAAATGTATCTCAAACACGTCCACTTTTATTCTCACATACTCCACCATATTACAAAATCAAATATTTACCGCTTTAATTTTGGAACCAAGATTAACCTACCATATACATGTACAGTACTTTAATATCTGACACTCCGAGTTTTTCCTTAATCATTGAAACCATAAATCACTAATATACTGCATTCCTGTTTTCATTTAACCAAGTGACAAACACAAACAAAAATTATTTCAAAGTTCACTAAGCTTCCTGAAACTTTTCACTTTTCTTACATAATATACCTGCACAATGAAATTATGTGTACCCACAAGAAAATATTATGGCACTGGGTGGACATGCAGAAATTGGATTGTGGGTTCCAGCTGGTGTCTTCCAAATACTGTACCAAGCAAGTCCAGTAGAAATTCTGGCTCATTTTTTTTTAAGGTCATAATGATAAAGAGGGTAGAGCATTTTCCAGAGAAGTCCTAAGTGTGTGTTCAGTCATAACCTCAATATTTTCTCATTAATATACTGTACTCTTTAATATTTTTTATTTTCTCATCACATAAGCCCACTTTGTTATTTCCATTGTCAGAGGTAGTAAGGCTGTACTTAATCTTATCAAGGTCCCCCTAAGACAACAACTAATCTTCTCCAGGCTGTAAACCACAACAGTTGCTGAACTCCCAGGTACCAATTTTACTACTAAGTAAATAAAAGCATCAGGTGAAAGATAATGTATACAACCATTTGTCCTGCCAGAGAATCGTTCCTGGGTCCCTGTATTGAGTCGAGGACATAGACCAGTATACTACATTACTACTACCTATGTTTCCAGAATTTACCTCGCTTAATCCCATCAAGCCATTTCTCTCAGTGCTGCACCAATTATGATCTTCCTAATGACATAGTTTTTGAACGAGTTATTTCACTACTGTATATTCCTTTAACAATTGTCTCTTTTTAGTAATTATTCCCTCATGACCGATACAATACACTTTTTACAGGAGGCTATCAAATGCATTTGAAGTTATGTATAATTTTTTAAATATTACGCACCTTCCTCAGTTCCTCTTTAACCTGCGAAGAATTGGGTCCATAAATATGGCCCATGTGATCAGGTTCATCATGGTAAAGAAAAACAAGGTTGGCAGGAGTTCTTTCGTTTGTAAGCCACTCAAAACTTTTATCTATGCTCTCATTAAATGGAGTCCGTGGGCGGAAGGGAGACCGAAACGTCACATTTTTCCCCCGAAATGCAACATTGCAGCCTGGCCACATGATGCACCCACTGTGCCCTCCATGCTCTTCATTCAGAGTCTGAAAATGAAGAAATGAAGTCACAATAGGAATTTCAAACTTGCTCTAGATTGATATATAAAATACAATGCTGGAAGTGCAAATGCAGCACAAATTTTAGGCTTAAAAATATTATAGCAATAAAAAAAATAATGTAAAGTCACACAATATAAATTATAATTACCCAAACTGGCGATACATGAGAATTTTGAGTAAACAATCCTTCATCTTCCATGCCCAATGTCCGATTCAATTTGGGGTCATATACACTGTTGCCAACCACACCATGAACCTCTTCATACAAGCCAGTGGCAACAGAGAAGTGGTTGGGAAAAGTCTTGGTTACAAATTGATTTCTGAAATGTCATTGGTCTACAGTCAACATCAATTCTTAAATTTATTTAACTTAATTTTGATAAAAATAAACTGACTACAGGGAAACTACACAAAACTAGTTGAAAATCCAAGATAAACCATGGACATATTATAATAAATTTTAACAATGTTAATAATTATTGAACTGAATTTATCCGAGCACCACTATCTCGCTAGTGGCCTTGACGATGACAGGAAGCGAGCAGCTTGTCAAAGGTCCCCCTCATTTGTCCTGACGACTTAATTGAGGTGGATTTTAAAGGCTTAGGCAAGTAGACAGTTGCATGGGTTTATGAAAGTTTATGTAATTTTATTCTTGGTATGAAAGACTAGCAAACTTGTGTATAAACATATGGCACTGTTGTATTACATTATCACGAGCCACAATTATTTCCAAGATATGTATCCAGCAATTTCTAAATGGAGTGACCTGTCATATAACTTCATAACTAGGTCAAGGGTCACCAAGAACTGTTACAATTACTGTCCTATATAACATTTTAATTATAATGTAATTATTCTACTGTAATTGTATAATACTACTGTATATAATTGTAACTAATTATTCTACTTAAAATAATCTATACCTGTAAAGTAAAGCTGCAAAGTACCTGTAAACATTTTTTGTCAATTTTACTGCTAATTATCTAAAAATTATCTGTTAGTTTAAGGACTTGCCCGAAATGCTATGTGCGCTAGTGGCTTTACAAGAATGTAATTTTAACTTAAACTCTATGTTCTCTGTTAACCCCCAATGTACCTTCTTGTATATATATAAATAAATAAACAAATAATAAATAAATAAATGTTAATGAGATCTTACCTGAACCTGCGTGGGTAGCTGCCACGCGAGAAGATCTTGCTATTCAGATGTTGCCATGGGTACTTGTCTAGATAATGGTGGCCAAACCCATCCAAAGAAATGACGAGAACTTTGCGACGCAACATCTGTACAGGTACGGGGTCCAAGCCAGCCGTCACGGAGGTGCTCACATGAGCCAAGAGCCACACAACTAACACCAGAATGCATCGCCCGTCCATTTTGACCTGCCTCCACACCTGCCTCGCTGCTATACTACACCTTGTAAACAGAGTGGTTGACAGTTAGAACAAGTTTGGTGGTAGAGGCCAAAACAGTCAATAGTTTCAAAGCGTTATATGACAAAGAGTACTGGGAAGATGGGACACCACAAGCATTGCTCTCATCCTGTAACTACACTTAGGTAATTACCTGCCTCTGCTATACCACATGTACACCTGCCTCTGCTATACCACATGTACACCTGCCTCTGCTATACCACATGTACACCTGCCTCTGCTATACCACATGTACACCTGCCTCTGCTATACCACATGTACACCTGCCTCTGCTATACCACATGTACACCTGCCTCTGCTATACCACATGTACACCTGCCTCTGCTATACCACATGTACACCTGCCTCTGCTATACCACATGTACACCTGCTATACTGTACACCTGCTATACCACATGTACACCTGCCTCTGCTATACCACATGTACACCTACCTCTGCTATACCACATGTACACCTGCCTCTGCTATACCACATGTACACCTACCTCTGCTATACCACATGTACACCTGCCTATGCCGTAGTGTACATACCACACCTGTCTCTGCTGTACTATAGCGTCCACATCTGCCACTGGTGACGAAGGATGTAAACACTAGAACACCTGTCAAGATAACACATTTCAAAGTTTCAGTTGCATCGGATCCCATTATCATATTATTACTTATAATAATTTCATATTTTATTTAATCAACTAACAAAACAATATATTAGAAGACACATAATAAAATAGTTTTGGAAGATAAATATTTATGAAATATACATTTCTGACGAAAAGTGTGCTGCAGGGACTTCACACAACTGAAATTCTTTAATGAAGATACAATTTTGAACCCGGAATAACCTGGAATTCCGGGTTGGAATCCCGGGAGGGACAAAAATGGTTGGGCGTGTTTCCTATCACCTAATGCACCTAGCAGCAATTAGGTACCCAGTCGGCATATTGTGTGGGTTGCATCCTGGAAGATTTCAGCTGAGTATGTATGTAAGTATGTATGTATGTATGTATGTATGTATGTATGTATGTATGTATGTATGTATGTATTAGGCATCCATCAGTCTCCTGAGACTATGGTGTTGCGCTCTGGTTGATGGTCTGGAGTGTTCACGTTCAAATATGTTTACTGAGATAAGAAAGAAATACATCTCAAAGGGATAGAGTAGCTTAGGCTATTTCTACCCCCCCCCCCCCACCCCCCCTCTACTTCAAGTCACTCAAGGGGCGCACAAATTCAGTGAGTACAAATAGACAAATAACATTACAAGAATCCCATTTAATATTGCAGGTTAATATAGTAAGCACAGCATATAGTTGTTACACTCTTGGGGCAAAATTCTTGTAGCTCCTAAGTATACTGTCTATCATACCATCATCACACATCCAAACAATTTGATGTGGTACACTATTTATTTCCTTATTTCTATAGTTATCAATAAGTTGACACTAATACATAATGTTCTAAGGTGTGGGCGTGCGGCATACTACATAATTTACACTCCTTTTCTTTTTCACTGACATCAACACCGTATTGCCAGATATATTTGCATTCTAATCTTAATCTCATGTAAATTGAATCCTTCCAAGTAGACTTTCCTTTACCATAGGTGAAGGACGAGTTTGTATTTATTACTGAATAATTCTTAAGTGTGTTACTACTGTCTACCATTGCCATTCTCTATCATTTCTTCACCCTCTTGGATCATCTTGATTCTTGTTTTTATTTATTTCAAGGTTATCTGACATACAACATCAACAAGAGTTTTTTCCGTGGCTCTCTTCGCTGTCTCATCAACTACCTCATTCAACAGTATTCCCACATGTGAAGGGATCCACATGAATCTTACTTTATACCCAGTTTTTTCTAATTTCTTAACATTCTCTCTACACTCTATCACAACATTCTGGTATACTGGGCGTCTGCTATTTAAAGACTAACGCTCCTCTGCTGTCAATAAAGAAGCAGGCATTTTTACCACATTTGACTACTTCCTGTAATCCTGCTAATACACCTTGGAGTTCAGCCTGCGTTGAAGAGACATTGTCAGATAAGCGGCGTCCAATAACAGTATCTACAGTGCCGATGTCAGTGTACTCTCTGATCAAGACTCCACATCCTGCCTTCCCATCCCTAGCTACTGACCCATCACAATATACATGTAGAGTGTTTTCTGTAGGCAATTTTCTAATTATACAATCATATATTGCCCTGTGGGATCTATTGATCCCACAGCAATGTCAACACGAAGTCGGACCGCCAAGAAAGACAAGCCGAAAACAAAGACCAAAGATCAGAGCTTGCTCCCACCATCAAGAAAGAAGTAAACCAATGAAGTAATCAACCTTCAATTACCAGCTGCTTGCGTTCCTGGCCTCTGTGTGGACTGCAAATGACGCCCTACTCAATTCTACTTCCATCTACTCAAGTTCTAATCCGCGGTGGTTGGGCCACCGATCTTTTATCTCCCCTCTTCACCTCATCTCCAGATCCTTGCTCAAGATTTCTGCAACCTCGCCCCGTTCTTCCATCCCCTGCTTGCCAACTCTATGGACATTTTCATTTCATGTTGCCCTCAGCTCTCCTATTTCATACATACTTTTTTTCTTCTTCAAGGGAGTAATTACTACATCTACATTACAATCCTCCCATGGTAGTGTGAATTTTCTCTTGGGCACAGCAATACACTCTGTAATAACATCATACTTTATAAGCAGGCGATGAGTCACAATAACGTGGCTGAAGTATGTTGACCAGACCACACACTAAAAGTTGAAGGGACGACGACGTTTCGGTCCGTCCTGGACTATTCTCAAGTCGATTGTGATGAGGAGATTGATTGATTGATTTAGATTAAGCCACCCAAAAGGTGGCACGGGCATGAATAGCCCGTAAGTGGTGGCCCTTTTGAGCCATCACCAGTATCAATAGATGATACTGGAGATCTGATTGATTGATGATTGATGAAGATTAAGCCACCCAAAAGGTGGCACGGGCATGAATAGCCCGTAAGTGGTGGCCCTTTTGAGCCATCACCAGTATCAATAGATGATACTGGAGATCTGTGGAGGTGCGAATGCACCCTGCGTGACGGGAGATGTCTCCCTTGTGAATGTGTTAAGATGAAGATGAAGCCACCCAAAAGGTGGCACGGGCATGAATAGCCCATAAGTGGTGGCCCTTTTGAGCCATTACCAGTATCAAGAGCTGATACTGGAGATCTGTGGAGGTGCGAATGCACCCTGCGTGACGGGAGATGTCTCTCTTGTGATTGTGTTAAGATGAAGATGAAGCCACCCAAAAGGTGGCACGGGCATGAATAGCTCGTAAGTGGTGGCCCTTTTGAGCCATTACCAGTATCAAGAGCTGATACTGGAGATCTGTGGAGGCGCGATTGCACCCTGCGTGACGGGAGATGTCTCCCGGACCAAGTGGTGACCAGATGGTGTAAATGTTTGATTGATGATTGATGAAGATTAAGCCACCCAAAAGGTGGCACGGGCATGAATAGCCCGTAAGTGGTGGCCTTTTCATGCCATTACCAGTATCAAGAGCTGATACTGGAGATCTGTGGAGGTGCGAATGCACCCTGCATGACGGGAGATGTCTCCCTTATGAATGTGTTTAAGATGAAGATGAAGCAACCCAAAAGGTGGCACGGGCATAAATAGCCCGTAAGTGGTGGCCATTTTAAGCCATTACCAGTATCAAGAGCTGATACTGGAGATCTGTGGAGGTGCAAATGCACCCTGCATGACGGGAGATGTCTCCTTTGTGAATGTGTTGAGATGAAGATGAAGCAACCCAAAAGGTGGCACGGGCATAAATAGCCCGTAAGTGGTGGCCATTTTAAGCCATTACCAGTATCAGGAGCTGATACTGGAGATCTGTGGAGGTGCGAATGCACCCTGCATGACGGGAGATGTCTCCCTTGTGAATGTGTTAAGATGAAGATGAAGCCACCCAAAAGGTGGCACAGGCATGAATAGCTCGTAAGTGGTGGCCCTTTTGAGCCATCACCAGTATCAATAGATGATACTGGAGATCTGTGGAGGTGCGACTGCACCCTGCGTGACGGGAGATGTCTCCCAGACCAAATGGTGCGACTGGAGATCTGTGGAGGTGCGACTGCACCCTGCGTGACGGGAGATGTCTCCCGGACCAAAATGTGATGAGGAGATTGATTGATTGATAAAGATTAAGCCACCCAAGAGGTGGCACGGGCATGAATAGCCCGTAAGTGGTACAATTTTTTTTTTTTTTTTCCCCCAGTGTTCTGAGGTTGCATTTAACCATCAAGCTGTTATCGTGGGGGAGGATACTGCTTCACAGTCTTTATGAGGGTGTCCAGCTGCTGGACACCTTTGTTGACCAGGAGAGTGGCTGTGTTGATGGCTTCAGGGTGGCCACTGCATGATTCAGGAACTCTTAAAGCTCTTCTAAGGTCATTGGTTGCTTCACATTCCAAAAGATAGTGAAGTAATGGCTTTTCTGTGACATTTTGGCAGAAGATGCACTCTCTCTGTCGAGGTTCACCAATCTCCCAGTTGCATCTGTAACCTAGACGTAGTTTTTTTTTTTTTTTTTTTTTTTTTTATTTTCTACCACAGACGTGGCCACACATTTACAATGCTAACCAGCATATATACATTTTCTTCTGTCCTCCATGGACAGGGTTAGAGAAGTGTTAAACATACAGACGTAGTCTATATAGCCTAACTGCTATTTCCCTGTGGATTCCTTTTGGGATATTTAACCTTTCTAATTTGGTTGCCTGAAGATACCATGTTGCAGATGGCGAACCTTCAGCTATTCTCTGGTGCAGGTCGGCTTTGTTGAGATGTGAGAGTTTTTTGGTGATGATGTTTTTTATGTTCTCTAGGCTGGGTTGAATTGTTTTATGTATCACTGGATGACGAGTTGCCAATTTAGCAATTTCATCAGCTTTTTCATTTAATGGGATTCCAATATGGGATGGGATCCAGTTTAAAGTTATGTTGAGGCCTTTGCCTTTAGCGACTGATGAGGAGGTAGAGACAGGCAATAAATAGGCAAGAGAGAGCTGAGGAGGAAAGTAAGGTGTAGGGGATAGTAGTAATAATGAGAACTGCAGAAGGCCTATTGGCCCATACGAGGCATCTCCTATTATAACCACCGAAGGAGATAGGAATAGGAAAAATGAAGAGGATAGCAAGGGAGCGTAGGAGAAGACAATGAACAGAAAAAGGGGAGAAGAGAGAAAGAAAAGGAAAGAGAAAGAAAGATAAATGGAAGGGGTAAGCTTATGTTAAGTCACGTTTGTTAGAAAGATTAGAGCATTTGAGTATATACTGTGAAAGGGAAGAGTCCACAGCAACAAAGCCAGGACTCAAGTTCATGTTGGGTACATTGTGTATAAGTGCCGATTCTACAAGACGGCGTCTGTGTAGAGTAGAGGCAGGAAAGATTATTTTGGAGGAAGACCAATCAATGGGATGATTAGAATCCCTCACATGGCAGAAGAGAGCATTGTTAGTGTCTGCAGACTTAACACTTCTCTTGTGTTCTTTAAGTCTGTCATTCAGTGTACGGCCAGTTTCGCCAAAGTATTAGAAAGGACAAGATGAACAG